TGAAACAGCTATCTCTAATCATTAATGCTCCCTGAGAGACAAACTATACACAGTGAATTGGAAATAAAACTGGTTCCACTAGAGCTATTCTGAGTATCTTCTGGGAGCCAGGACCTCTACTAAATGGCAAGGATAAGACAGACCAACTTCTTGTTCACATAAAGCTTACATTCCAAGGAAAAGTAAACAGAACGGTGTGACCGGTACTTCCTAGTGGTATGATCCAGGCCCTGGATGCAATCCCATCACCAAAATATACATTTTTTAAAAAGATAGTGGCTTCGAGTTTGCTCTGTATTAAATGTCAGGGACAGACTCTACAAAAGTGACAGTTCGGTTGAAATCCAAAGAGTGAGAAAGTATTAGCAGTGATGACCCCAGGTATAGGGCTGAATCACACTGGACCCAGCAGAGGGTGCTGAAAATGAGGATGGAGGGGTGGCCCTCGATTCCCTAGAGAAAGTAAACCAATACAAGAAAGGATTTTAGATTTAAAAAAAAAAAGTGAGTCCACTACTTCTCTGAAAATTAATAGAAAGCCAAGGGTGGTGGCACTGGCCCATAATGCTAGCATTTGGAAGTCTGAGGCAGAAAATGGGAATGCAAAGACAGCCTGACCTATACAATGAGTTCAAGGCCATTCTGAACTACACCATAAAACCCAGTCTATAAAGCCAAACCAACAAATGTATTTAAACTGAGGGAAAGAGAGGAATAAGGGCTATCATACTTATACCCTCCTCACACCTCTGCAGAATTGCCTGTGGGGAGAATTAGGATACAGAGGACACTGTGTCAGAGAAGGGAGTTGGAACACTTAATTCTTAGGGAGAGAAAAGGCCTCTGCTTTTTTTTTTTTTTTTTTTTGGTGATACAGGGCCTTCACACTGAGCTACAGCCCCAACCCTTTCTTAGTTTTTATTTTGAGACAATGTCTTGCTAAGTTGCCCAGGCTGGACTTAAACCCGTGAACTTGTGATCCACCTACCTCAGCCACCTGGAGTGCTAGGATTACAGATGTGCTCCAACACACTGGCTCTTTGGGAGTTTTAAATAGAAAAATGACATTATCTGAATCACCATCTGAAAGAGTTTGTAAACAGATTTATGCAACAAATGAACTAAAGAGGAAAGAGTGAAAGCAAGACAGATGGGAAGGCCACTGCACCGGTCAAGTTGCAGTGATAGGGAGTCACAAGCAGGTACCACTGAGATGGGCAGAAGTCAATAAACTAAAAGTAGGTTTTAAATTGGCCAGGCATGGTGGCATACACCTGTGACCCAGCCCTCCGAAGGCTGAAGCAGGAGGATCACTGTAAGTTCAAGGCCAGCCTGAGCTATATAGAGAATTCAAGGCCAGCCTGAACCACATAGCAAGACCCTATCTCGAAAGAAAGACAGACACACACACACAGTGATGCACACTTATAATCCCAGCACTTTGAGAGGCTCAGGCAAAAGGATTCCAAACTGAAATTCTGCATGAGCAATTTAATTTAAAGAGTGATTCTGTCTCAGAGAGAGAGAGGTTTCAGACATACAGTTATGTTTTCTGTTTTCTTTGTTTCTCTTTTATTTGTACACATGGAACATTACATTCAGTGCTAGGTCTTAAAACACTTAAAAGTTTAAGTTCCCCACCCATAACCATAACCACATTACAAACACAGAAAATCAAAATACCATAAAATGGTGTAAGAATAGGGAAGAACTGAAATGGGAATTTTTTTTAAAAATCTGTGTTTCAGTGTTTAACGAAGAAACAGGATCCTGAGTTTCATTCTTAGAACCATGAATGAAAGAAAGAAAGAAAGAAAGAAAGAAAGAAAGAAAGAAAGAAAGAAAGAAAGGAGATCTGGGCTTGGTGGCATAACCTGTAATCTCAGCATTCTGGAGGCGGAGGCAGGAAAATCACTGCAAGTTCAGGATCAGCCTGGGCTACAAAGGGAGTTCAAGGCCAGCCTGAACTGCATAGTGAGACCCTGTCTCAAAAACACAAAAGAGGGGAGAGAAAGGAAAAAGAAAGAAAGAGAAGAGGGAGGGATGAAGGAAGGGGGAGAGCTGGGTATAGGGTACATATTTGTAATTCCAGCTACTGAGGAGGCTGAGGCAAGAGGATCACAAGTTCAAGGCCAACCTGTGCAACTTAGCAGGGTTTTGTCTCAAAATAAAATTTAAAAGGCAAGCACATGGCTCAATAAGCTCAGTTCAACTGCACCCTAAATAAATAAAAAATAAAATAATCACATAGGGCAGAGAGCTGTGCCATGATGATTCTAGTTATAAAACTATAAAAGACAAAAAAGAAATGAAAAAATTAACTTCAAAAACACACTGGCCATCTGTATGTGTACAAAGGAAAACAAAATATCTTTACTCCTTTCTACCCTCTGGTGGCTACATATCTAAGGAACTTTCCTTATTATGTTGTTTTGAATGCCATTTTCAGTATTCAGGATTGAACACTAGAGTTTTACACTGAGATATATCTCAACCCTTTTTCAATTTTACTTTTTCAGTTTGAGACTAAAACTAAATTCCCCAGGATGGGCTTGAACTTGGAATCTCTTTGCCATGACAGATGTGAGCCACCACTCCCAGCTCCAAGACTGAAGCCATAAAAAGAATAGTTTTATCATTCCATTTAGAAATCCTACAGACACAAGAAAGTGTCAAATTTTTAAAAAGACAAAAAAATAGCCCAAACCAAGAATCAAGGCCTCTCTATCACCTGACAATCAATTGAACCTCAATAGCAATACATTAATGAGGGGAAGTGATACTGGAATTTCCTTGTTCTGTCACAGAATGAGCCACACTGAAATTCCACCTGTTCAGGCTGTTCCTGAGTTGAGAGTAACAGATGAATCAACAAACAATTGTTCTGACTTGTTTTCCTTGTGTGCATGTGTACACATGTGTGTTGCCACTGCTGACATCTAAAGTCTGTCCCCCTTCTGGTAAGTTTTACATCCTTCCTCTTCAAAATATGACAACTGCAATGGAAAATGTCTTCTGTTCCTGTTTACTTTTCATTTTAAGAAGTGAGACCTTAAAGTAAGGAAAAGACCGTATGACTTGGAAATGTGCTCACCAGTTCAGCCGACCCACTCAAATTCTTCTGGGGGGCAGGAGACATGACAGAGACGTAGAACCTCCCAACCACTGAGCTATAGCTCCAACCTTCAAGTCCTTCGGGGAAAAGATGTCAGATATCAATAAAGACATGCTAGAAGCCAGGAAAGATGGCGCACGCCTATCATCCCAGCATTCTGGACAGCTGAGGTAGGAGGATCACAAATTCTAGCCCAGTTTGGACAATTTAGGGACTCAGCAAAATCTCCGCCTCAAAACAAAACAACAATAAAATGTTTTTAAAGGGCTGAGGATGTAGTTCAGTGTGAAGCCCTGGGTTCAAGCCCAGTACTAGGGGCCCCGCCCCTTTGAGTATGCCATACTACTCACCCCTGTACCTTTAGTTCCTTGCTCATCCTCTTTGAGGCATTTTCCTTTCTATCTCCAGATGGCTTCAGCAGGGCTGTAGATTCAGTCATCGTGGCTCACAGCTGGATGTCACTGGACCTCTAACGGAGGGACACATGGGAGAAGAATGCTGTCATATGTACCAAGGCTTCGCATTCTTTGTAAATGTTTTATTCTGAGACCACTTAATTTTTATTATCACCTCTGAAAAACAGCTACTTTCAGACAGGACCTGTACTCAATAAACCATCTGTGTGGATGACACAGTGATGGACTCCTGTAATCCCAGCACTGACGAGGCTGAGGCAGAAGGATATCCATTAGTTTAAGGGCACCCTAGGCTACGTAGGGAGTTCAAAGCCAGCCTGGACTACAGGACGAGACCCTGTCTTTTTTTTTTTTTTTTTTGTACCAGGGATGAAATTCACGAACTTGCACTTGCCAGGCAGGTGCCTATGCCACTGAGGAAAATCCCTGGTCAGAAACGTCTCCAAAAAAATTAATTAATTAAATTATCATTATCACGGTGGGGGGGAGATTTCTGCTACTTCTGTGAGTCATGGGTTCTCTGAGACTGGAGGCTGGAAGGCAGTTAGTGAAGACCTGAGCTGGGTGTGCTGGCAGAGGCCTGTAATCCCAGAACTGGGAAGGCTGAGGCAGGAGGACTGCTGTGCTTTAGAGGCCAGCCTTGGCTATATAAGTGAGTTCCAAACCTGCCTGCATTACATAGCAAGACTTTGTCAAGAAAGAAAGAAAAAGAAAACTTGAATTAGGACCAGGGTGTAGTTCAGTGGTGGAGGCCCTGGGTGACCCTGGCATCACAAAATAAATAAAAGAACCCTGAATTCAGACACTCATCCAAAGACCTTGCACCTCTGGCCTTGGAAGGTCTAACTTGGAGATAAGGGGCAAAGTGCAAGTGGAGGCGGCCAGGGAACCTGGCCTCTCTGAGGCCTCACTTGACCTTGGGCCAAGGTCATTTGGCACTTCTTTGCGGGCGCTGTCGGAAATGTCCTTCTACAGCCTTGGAGCCCACTCTGTTGGGGTGTCCTGCCCTTCCAGGGTGTTCCCATCGAGGGCCAAGAGACACGGGACGGCTCCTGCCACAGCCGTCTCACCAGGCAGCTACCCTACCTCTCCCGGTGCTGCCATCTTCTCTCCACGCTCTGTGTCCTCGCGCTGCACCTCCCGCCCAAAACCCTCTTTACGCTCTGATTGGCTCTCCCAGGAGACCCTGACCAATGGGAATGGCGCAGCTAGGTGGACGCACCAGCGCGTGGAGGAGGGAGAACGTCACCCCGTGACGCACACTGTGTCAGGGCACGGCAGAGGTGTGGCAGGGGCCGCGAGGACAGGACGTGGGCTTCCCCAGGCCCACGCGGACCCAGCGCCTCAGGAAGGCACTGCACTACCCTGTGGCCGCCAGAGACGCCTAGAGGGTGCGCCCTGTGTTCGGGCCTCGCGACCCAACCTTCCCGGCAGCCCTCGCGCTGCTCGCGCCGCGTCGCCCGCGGCCACGTGCGGCCCCGACGCCGCTTCCAGCCACCCGGCCCGGGTGCTGGGGTGGGACCTGCGGCAGGGCACGGGGCTGAGCTAGGCGGAACGAAAGCCCCAGCCCCGGACGACAGCAGGGCGCGCCCACTGCAGAGCGACTCCAGGTGGGCATTCCTGCGGCTAGGCTGGGCACCCCCTGGAAGTGCGCCGTGCACGGTGCCTCGCACCGCGTCGCGGAGGGCAGCAGAATCGAGTCTAGCCTGTTTCTGTGACAGAATCTCACCGTGTAGTCTGGGTTGGCCTTGAACTTGCAGCAACCCTCCAGCCTCAGCCTCCCATGTGCTGCGATTCAGGTGTGCACCACCGCCACATTTTGCTTGAGCCTGCCCTTTTAAATTTACCTTTCTGCCCTTTTGTCTCCTGCTGGTGTGGGCAGGATCTGTGCGGGCCCCAAGTGCCACCTTACAGAGCCCTCCCGTGAGTGTGGGCCTTGGTGCTGAAGCTCCAGAAAGGCCAGAGACCCAGGGGTAGGCTTTCCTTTGTGTTCCACAATACGGTGCTTTCCAGGCCTGGCTCCACAGTAGCTGGGTGATTAACCAGGTAGACAGACTGCAAGAACATACTTTTGCCACCCAGGAATTGATCAGGCAAGGTTTGAGCCTGAACAGATGAACCAAGGATGAAGGTGTCCTTATTTCATTTACAGCTTTCACGTGCACCCTCTGCTGGTTAGTGTGGAGCGAGCTCCGTGATAAGAGAGTGCATGTGACTTTCTAGAGGCCAGTGCCAGTATCACATCCTCAGTGGTAGGCTGGGGACCTAGCTCAGTGGGCAAGTGGGAGCCTAGCACGTGTAAGGCCCGCAGTTCAGTCCCCAGTGTCGCACACATACAAAATGCCAAATGGAGGTTCGGACCCATGGAATGGGAAGTTGAGCCAGCAAAAATGTGAGAAAAGATGAATGATAATAGCAGCCCCCCCCACACTGTGCTAAGTGATCTTACCTATATTAGCACACGTAATTCTTAAAACACTCCTACAGGTAAGCTCTGTTATTATTCCTGTTTCATGGATAAGGAACATGAGACTCAAAGACGTTAGGTCACATGTGTTATACAGCCAGGCTAACAACCTGGAAGCCAGGCCCGGTGACAACATGCCTGTCACTCCAGCATTTTGTGAGGCTGAGGCAAGAGAAGTTGGGAGCCCTGGGCTACTTAGCAAGTTACTGAGGTCCTGTCTCAAATTTAAAAGGGCTAGGGATAGAGTTCAGTGTAAAAGCTCTGGGTTCAGTCCCAGAAAAAAAAAACATTTTGGATTCAAATCTAGGTTTATTTTTCCCACATGTAATTTCTACAGGAATGTTTTTTCCTTGAAATACAACTTCTGCTCTGATGTTTCCTCAACTCATCCTATTACCGTCTATCAGAATTTCCCTACTATTTCAAAGGTCAAAGTAAAGCATAACTATGCCTCTGAAATATATGATTTCACCTGCAGAAATCTGATCTGTAAAAACCAAGATATCATCTTCAGAAACTCCCAACATGTGCTCTCCTGCCAGTTCCAAAATTCTCTACAGGAACCCCCGGTTTCTCCACTTGGCCTTTCTGCAGCTCCATCACCAGCAGCAGAGTGGTGTGTTCTGTGATGTCCTGCTGCAGGCCGAAGGTAAGACTGTGGCGGGACTTAGCCAAAACCAGCATGAAATGGGATGAGTTTAAGGCCAGGGTAAAGGGCAAAGGCAGAGAAATGTTATTATCCCCCCAGTGCTATAAACTATTTGGTAAAGAGCTTTTTGCTTTTAGGACAGTTACTGTTTTCAAGAGTGAAACTGTAAGTATGATTTTTCTTTTTCTTTTCTTTTTGTTTTGAAACAGTATCTCATAATACATACTCCAGGCTGGCCTTGAACTTATGTTACCCAGACTGGGCTCAAATTTGCAGTTCTCCTGCCTCAGCCTCCTGAATGCTGGGATTACAGGCTTATACCACATCAGGCTTTGTTTTGTTTTGTTGTGTTTTTTACAATGAAATTAATTGTAAAATTTTGTAAGCATAGGGCCAGGCGTGGTGGCTCATGCCTGTAATCCCAGCGCTCGGGAGGCTGAGGCCCTGCAGATCGTTGCGAGTTCGAGACCAGTCTAGGCTACAGAGTGAGCTCAAGGCCAGCCTGAACTGCACAGCAAAAACCTGTCTCAAAAAGACAAAAAAAAAAAAAAAAAAGAAAGAAAGAAAGAAAGAAAATTCTGTAAGCATAAAAATTCTCTAAAATGTGGTTAATAGCCTAGTGGTGTAGTTGTAAAGAGTAGGTTAGCATATGTTAAGCAGTTAGAACAGTGCTTTTAATGTACTAACCACAATATAAATGTTAGATGACACTTACATTTTCTTGTTTTCTTTGCACAGTGTTGCTTAAATTTTTTTTGTTATTTCTAAATGGGGTGACTCTTATTTGTTGATGAAGCAAAAAATGTATAACTTATTTCCACCCCTTCTCTTCACATGAAAATGTTAAATCAGCATGAAGTAGACCATGGTATACTGTAAAAGACTCAAAATTAGTAGTCAGAGGCCCTGGATTTACTTTCTATTTTGTTACTTAGTTACTGTCAAATGAGCAAGTAAATTCATCTCTGTGGAGCACAGTTTCTTCATCTTCTGTGCATGGTAGCACACACTAGTAACCCCAGCACTCTGGAAAGCTGAGGCAAGAGAAATTCCAAGTTAAAAATAAGAAAGAAACAAAAGGATTATGACGTTATATAGTACCCTCAGTTTGCAGAATCTATACAGTGTAGTAACTCATTTGAATCTAACAGCTGTGTGAGGTAAGTAGTGTTACATGATTCTAGTTCTAGAGATTGAATTGAGGTCTTCAGTTAAACGAATTGTCTGTTGGTTCTTTTAGTAGGTATGCAGCCCAGATTCATTTCTTTCATTCAAAATAAACACAATAATCACCAGGTGTAGGGGTCCACATCTGTGACTCCAGCTCTTGGGGGGCTGAGGCAGATTGCCAGAAGTTTGAGGCCAGCCTGGACTGCACAGTTTCAAAAAACAAAACACACACCAGCTCCCTGTTGGATGCTACACACTCTGCTAAAGGGGAGACATCAAATAAGCAGTGCAGGCAAGTAACTTACAATACATACAAAAATTAATTGGTAGAAAAATATAGGCTGAAATAGGGTCACAGAGGAGCACCCTTCAGAGATCTGAGGCAGCTAGAGAAAGGGTGCAGGAACCTTTCTTGGAGGAAAAAGCCCGTTATGGTAATGTGAAGGACAAGCAGAAATAGGAAGGATTTCTCTGGACCAAGAGAAAGACACATACAGAGATGCAGAATTGTGTTCCAGGCTTGTGGGCCATTCACTGTGGCCGGAACACACTTGGAGGCAAGTCACAGTGAGGGCTGGAGGAGCCAGCAGTCCTGCTGGCCTTGAGGCAGGAGGTCTTGCTCTCAGAAGAGCTGTGAGCCAGAGTTCCCAGTCAGATTCCCATTCAGAAATGACACTCAGGCTGATTAAGAATCACTGCAAGGTCACAGAGCCCAAAAAGGAGACTGCTTGGAATCCAGGAGAGGATGGTGACCAGAAGTAAGGCACTGAGAGTGGAGAGAAATGTGTGAGCTTTTGAAGAGAATTTATAAAACTTACTGGAGTTATTAAGAGCGTGGACTTCAAAGCTTACACCTGCTTCTACCTAAGAATGGCCATGTTACTCAGCTGTGTCTCGGTTTGTTGCCCTACAGTACTAGTAGCTACTTCACAGTGCAAACAGATTGGATTAATTCTGGTGCAACCCTTAGGACAGTGCCTAGGGACATATGATAGTCTTTTTAAAATTGCTCTTTGAGCTAGGTACGGCGGCATACACCTCCAGCACTCAGGAAGCTGATGCAGCATCATGAATTCAAGCCAGCCTGAGTTAGAGGCGCTATCTAAAAAACAAAAAAGGTATCATGGAGAGTAAGGGAGAGAAGAATTGACTTCTAGTTTTCAGGCTTGGACTACTGGATGAATGTGGTATCTTGCTTTGAGGTAGAAAATGGGGGAAGTTTGGGGGAATGATACGATGAGGTTTTTTTCTTTTGTTAGTTTTTTGAGACAAGTTCTTGCTATGTAACCTGGCTGGCATTGAAATCTTGGCCATCCTTCTGCCTCACCTTCCTAAGTACGGGCATTACAAGGATGCACCACCATGCTGTTTTTTTCTTTTTATCAAGATCTGGTCTGCTGTGTAGCCCAGGCTGGCTTCAGTCACAATCCTCCTGCCTCAGCCTCTGAAGTCCTAGGGTTACAGGTGTGTGCCTGAGTCATTTTCTAGGAAGGGGACATGTCTGCTCTGAGGAAAGCCGTCTGTGGAGGACCTGGGCTGGGGGAGCGTCTGAGCCTCAGACAAGCCTGCGTGCCCACGAAACAAAAAGGTGGCTTGGAGCAGGCAGGGTTAAAGCTCAGAAGGGAGCCTTCCATCAGCCACCACGGACCTCCGTTTTCATTAGGTTATGAGCTGCTGCTGGGACAGCTTTTGAATTCTTAGGCAGGTCTATAAAAATGGACTGGCAGGCACCGCGTCGAGCTGCTTGGTTTCCAGGGCCAGGTGTCCTCCAAAGGCAGGGGCTAGGAAAGTACAGCCCAGGCTGCAGAGGACCTAGGGCTGGTACTCTCCTAGCCCGGGCTGGAGGGAGGCTTCAGTTCTGGTTCCAGGACAGAACAAGTTAAACCAGAGGGAGTGGCAGGAGGTACAGGCCGGCAGGAGTCTCCTGTTCCTGGGGTCTGCAAGGTGGGGAACCTCGGGGAGGGCGGGTAGGCACTAGGGGAGCACGGATCTGCTTGGAGGCTCTGTGTGCCAGGCCCTAAGTGTGACAAGTGTGTGGCTTTCCCCAGGTGAGGTGGTCCCAGCACACTGCTGTGTCCTGTCAGCCTGCAGTCCCTTCTTCACAGAGCGCCTGGAGCAGGAGAGACCTGCACCGGGGCAGAAGGTGGTCCTGGAGCTGGGGGGTCTGAAGATCCAGACCCTGCGAAAGCTGATAGACTTCCTGTATACATCAGAGATGGAGGTGTCCCGGGAGGAGGCCCAGGACGTGCTGTTGGCCGCCCGCCAGCTTCGTGTGTGTGAGCTGGAGTCCCTGCAGCTAGAGGGGGGAAAGCTGGTAAAGGCCCCAGCAGGCAGAAGGCTGAACCGGGAGTGCCTGCAGCCCAGCCCCGGGCCCAGTTCCACCAGGATGCCAGCTTCTGGCCGCTCTGTTTCAACACCACTGCCTTCTCTGCAACCTCCCAGGGCAGCAAGGGCAGAGCATCGGGGGAAAGCAGAGGGTCCCCCAGAAGAGGGCACCCCACTGGGCGCAGAGCACGTCCCAGGCACACTGCTGCTCCAGGGCAAGGCCAGAGTTGGCCAAGTTCCACAGGGGGAAGGCTCGGCAGGCCTCAGCCAAGAACCTGGGGCTGACAAGCAGGACCCCGTGCCCCAGCCTACGGAACCGGCCCGAGCCTGCCTGTATCCTGTGGAGCAGCAGCTGCTGCCCAGGAAAATCAGGCTGAGCCGCTCAAAGCCGCCTCCCAGTGGTGGTGCTGCTGGAGCTCCCAGTGCACTGCCTGCTGCCCCTGGCCGGCGACTCTGGCGGGGCAGGGTGAACAGAGAAGCGGTAGAGGACAGGCAGAAGCCAGGCAGGGCCAGTCCTCTGCAGAACACCCCCACACCCTCTACGCCTGGTAGGCTGGGTGGGGGCAAGAAGCGGAGCCCTGAGGCCTTGGCACCAGGCCCAGAGCTTGCAGAGGAGGGCCAGGTCAGCAGAGTAAAGCTGCGGAAAGTGGTCAACGGTACCTGCTGGGAGGTGGTACAGGAGCCACCCCGGGCCCCCAGGAGCCCCAAAGAGAGCCCCCAGACACACATTCCTGGAGACATGGGGCAGCATTCAGGAGCCTGGCTGTCCCCCACCAGTGAGCAGCAGGTGTCTTCTGCTGGCATAGAGCTGTATCAGGACTCGCCTGAGGGCACTGGTGTGTTGGACGTCATGCTGGCCTCAGGCCGCTCCCCAGATCGGCCTGGGGTGGGGCGGGCATTTGGGTCCAGCCCTGAACTGTTGAGCAGTGAGCCCATGCTGAGCAGTGACCGCAGCAAGCCCTGTGCCTTCGGGGGTACCCTGCGTGGACAGCGCTGTGACGGCATCTCAAACTCCGTGGCCACCAGCGAGCTGGAGGACATCCTCGACTTGGTGCTGTGCAGCTCAGACATGGGGCCACCTGTCAGGTCCCCTGAGAGCCCAGGGGCTGAGGGCTGCAGAACCCCGAGTTACCACCTGACAGGCGGAGGGAACTGGATGGAAGCAGCAGAATGGTGCTTGCCAGATCTGGAACTGTGGTCCAAAGAGCTGGAGGGACTGGAAAAGGAGCCTGGCAGTGAGCAGAGAGAGCCAGGGGACCCCCCAGACACCCCCACCATGCCTTCCGAGGGGAGGGAAGGCCAGGCACTTCCATCAGGCGGCACTTGGACTCCAGATCTCAAGTTCACCATCTCCCAGCTGACGGATGATCACACCAGTTCCCCTGGAAACCCCTCAACACCAGGCTCAAGCTGGACAGGGGGTGGGCTGGACACAGGGCTGGCTGTGTATGAGGAGCTGTGTCCTGCTCTTGGGACAGACCCTGGCCAGCCACCCCCCAACTCTGAGGATGAGGATATTGACGTGGGGGACTGGACAGCAGAGGCCAGGCTGGTGTCCACCAGCTTCCCCTCAGTGTGGCCCGACCCATCCTCGGAGTCAGAAACGGAGGTGGACATCCTCACATAGTGGAGGGGGATCAGGGAGTGCTGGACAGCAAGAGGCCCCTTCCCACACATGGCCAGTGCCTGACAGCACAGGATGGCTCGCCTGGAGCCGCCACCTGGGCCCTGGAAGCCAGGCAGAAGTCCAGGGAGAATCACAGGTGGAAAGCTAGGACCCTGACACACTTTTATTCTTTGTAATTTCCCAGTTAGTGACAGGTCAATAAATTGTCCCCAAGTCTAGTGGGCCCTAGGTACCAGTTTAGGATACGTCTGGCCTGGCAAGTAGGAGGAGCTGCAGGTAGTGTCCTCCCTCTGTGCAGGGCTCCACTGGGGCCTTAGGCACACCATGACAGACAGATGGCCAGCACTGCTCACAGGTTCCGTAGCATACCAAAGGGCCAGGGAGATCCACTTGTCATCATTTCCAGGAAGTGAGTCAAAGGTACAGTTGCTTTTTTAAACTTAATTTCCTTTGCTGTCTTAGTTTCTGCAAGTACTTTCTTTATATGCTTCACCTGTGGCCCTATGAATTCCCAGCCAGGTGAGGACTTTGGGCTGCAAAAAAAAAAAATAAAAGGCTCACCAACCCCGACATCCCTTAGCGTGATTTTTTACTCTCACTCAGACACTTTATTTCACCTTTTATTATAACAACCAAATCCAAACAGTTTACAGTGCCTCGGGTGAGCGCTCACTCCTGGGATGCTAGAGACCATGGCTTCAGGGCCATGGCTTTAGTTTGGCCATGTCCCATCACAGACGCCCCAACAGGACCAGGAACAGAAACGCTGCAAAAAGGAGCAGGGAGGTTAGAGAAGATGTGCAGGCACTCACAGGCCCAGGAGCTGGAGAACTACCTCAGCTCTGCAGCTCCCAGCACAAGGCCTGACAGCCCAGTACAGGACTGTGGGAGGCGCTGGGGACAAAACTTGGTAGCCAGGAATCACCATCCTAGCGCAGGAGGGGACACCTGTAACCCCCTTAGAAGGCCGAGGCAGGAAGATTTATGTATAGGGAGTGAGCTCAAGGATAGCTGAAACTATTCTCCAAAAAGCAACGGAAAACGTTGAGAATAAAACCCCGAAGGATGTAAGGGAAGGTACAGAAGTCTCAGAAAAGGTGCCACCTGCAAAGAAAAATCATTAGCATACCAAAACAGTAAAGATTAGCTTACATACTCACTTATAACTAAGGACCAATAAGTTTTAAAAGTAAATCATGCAAATAAAACAGCCACTAGAAATGAATTTTCAAATAAATGAAAAACTGCTCCACCACCCCATCCCACCGCGGCAACTAAAAACACCAGCCAACTCCAAAGGACCCAAACTGCAGGTTCACAGAGACTCGCGCTTCCACCGGAAATCGTGGGGCTCTCGGGTCAGATGCAACTTTCCAAGACCCTACTTCACATTTACAAGTAAAACGGCTGGGGATGGAGCTCGCCTTAAGCTCCCCGCAGGGTTCGGTGGTCACCGCGTGGGCTCCCCGACAAGGGCCCGCCCCACACGAAGCCCTCTACTGACGAACCTCGGCTTAGGCCGCCTGCCCGGACCCCTACGCGAGATGCCTTTTCAGCTCCTCCACCACCGCCTGCGGCTCCGGGAACTTGAGTTTGCGCGGTGGCCCCTTTTTAATTCCGGTCCAGAGTTCCGCACCTGTGAGGGACCATGTACGAGAGGTGCCCGGGACCCCGCACCCTGGCCTGGCCCGGCCCAGCCCAGCCCGCCCCAGCCCACTCACCGCTGCCGTCCGCGCGTCGCAGAGTCACCTCAAAACTACCCCTCCGCGGCCGCGCCGGGTTCACCGCCACCGCCAGTTGCGGGGCCGCCACGCGCAGCGCCTGGCTCAGGAGGGCGGCCTGGCGCGCGTACACGCGTCAGCTGGTGCTGCGGGTACAGGGCTGGGTTCAGCGCCGGACCAGGAGGACGCGGGTGGTGGGGGCCAGGGATGGGAACCGAGGGCTGGGGGAGCAGGACAGAAGGCACAGGAACCAGGAGCCGGGGGCGCGGGGGACACGTATGGGAATCAGGAGAATGGGGAGCAGGGACGGGAACCCGCAGTCGGGGGCGCAGGAACGGGAGCTAGGGCCAGAGGCGAGCCCGGTCTGCACCCCTGCGAGCCTCACCAGTGCTCGATGACCACCTGGGGCTCCGCCGCACCCTCCCCGCTGTCCGCCGGCTCCCCCCGCTTCCCTGTAGGGCAGACCTCGGCGGCCTCGGACTTGCGCTTCCTCCCGCGAGGGGCCATGGCGCCAGGACAGCACGGCGTGGTCTGCGGGCGACCCTTCAGGCAAGCGCGTGGCTCAAACTTCCGGAGGCAGAACCATAACTTCCGGAGGCGGGACCATAACTCCCGGGGTGAAGCCACTTCCGGGGGCGGGGCCCAAGCTTCCAGGGCACCCTTCCGGCGCAGTAGGACCCGACAGCACCGAGAGCGGGTGGACGCTTTGAGGCCAGAGAGACAAGCACTCGAGAGGAGCGGGTGTCTTTATTGCACAACGCGGGGTCTCCCTGCCGCCTCCCCGATGCAGGAGGCTTCAAGTGTCTGCGTCTCCCGGGACGGGCGCCCTGCTGCCCGGCTCCATTAGACCGTTTTCCAGCGAAAGCAGCCCCGGATAGAAGGGCCAAGCGCCCCAGTGCCGGGAGGAGACCGCAACTCCGGCCCGAGCCTGCGTCCAATTCACGAGGTCCCCACTCGCGCAGCCCCAGGGCCGGGCCAGCTCATGCCTCGAGGGGGCGCCGGGCACTGGACGCTGACGGGGTCCTATTTGACTTTCTTATCTTCCCCCTCTGGGCCCGAGGGCCGCTGTTCAACTGTGCTGTCGCCAGCCCTGGCCACCTTCCTAGCCCGCTGGTACAGCTCGTTCAGGTTGAATTCGCGGATCACGTTCTCCTGCACCAAAGAGAACAGCACGTCGGGAGGCTCCTCCTGCAGCCCTGAGGACTGAGCCGCAGCCTCTGCCCAGCACCCCAGCACCCAGCCTGTTTACGCTCTGGTTCTATGAAGAAACTGGACTTCCGCCGGCCAACAGTTCTCCAGCCACAGCCCCCCTGACGCTGGGTAACCGGCGTGCGTATTTGGGCGTCTAGGAAAGGAGCCAAGAGGCAAAGCCAAACCTAACTAGGCTGGTTTTTAGCAAGTCCGTGCAAGCTCGCAGGACCGTCCTAGGCGCTAGCCCGGCTCTGACCCCCACACTGACCACCCTGGGGTGGTGGAGACCTGGTTCTAAGGGGTTCAGCTCCAGCCGAAGCCCAGAAGTGCAGGGCCCAGCCTGTGACCCCTCCCAGCTCTGACCAGGGCCAGAGCTGGTGTCATAGCCCCTGTTCAGATTGGAGGGGTCCCCCATACCCCGCAGTCCCTAAACCCAGCACCTCAGAGAAGGTCCAGGAGACAGCACGCCCTTTCTTGTCAATCTGCGGCCGCCGCATGACCTCCTTGCCGCCTTGGAACAGGATGAGCGTAGGCAGCTGCTTGGTGAGGGGTGACGTGCTCACCCTGTACCTGTGGGCCGGAGGAGGGGCTCAGCGAGGATGTGCCCGTCATGCAAGGGCTCTGCGGTGCCTGGCGCGCGGCCCGACCGGACCCGGCCAAGGCTGCCTACCGTGTGCTGACGTCCGTGTAGCGGCCCACATCCACCTTCCCGAAACTCAGCCCTGGGCAGTTGTACCTGGGAGAATGGGCAGCTTAACATCCCCAAAACAAAAGGGGCGGGCAGGAGGGGAAGGGCTGGCAGAGACCTTGGGCACTGCTCACTTGAGGGAGAGGTCCGCATAGATGGGAGCAAACGACTGGCAGTCACTGGACCAGTTGGCAAAGAACTCCACCAGCCAGGTGACCCTCCTGTCCCGCTCCAGCTCCTCCTGCCACCAGAAGGACACAGTGGGTAGGATCCCACCACGCCCCAGCCCCAGTCCTCTCCCCACAGCAGCCCCAGGGACCCAGGTTACAAAGAACACTCACATCAATGGTCTTGTCGTTGAAGTACTTGATGTACTCAGGGCCCAGGTACAGTGGGGGCTTGCAGGTCATCAGGAACACTAGACACAGAACAGAGCCGTGGGGACGTGCCCTGCGTCTGCACAAGGTACTCGCTTCCAGTGCCACACAAGGCAACCTTGGCGGTCCTTTCCTTTTTCCCTTGCTGTACCAGGGAGCAAACCCAGTGCCTTCACACTAAGCCGCTTCCCCAGCCCCTCTTTATTGCTTAGTTTCAGACAGGGCCTCACTAAGTTACTTAGGCTGCGCCTGAACTTGTGATCTTCCTGCCTCAGCCTTCCAGAGTGCTGGGATTTCAGCTTTGCACCACCCCAGCTGGCACTGTCTCTTCCTCTTAAAACACAGCCCACCTAGGTTTTGTCTTTGAGCTACACGGCACCTCAGTAGGGGCCGAGGAGGAAGGCACGTGGAGTGGGGGGGGGGGGTGATGATGATTCACCTATGCACAGTGTGAGGTACAGCAGCCCCATGCGGATGTCCAGGCGAAAGAACAGGATGGCATTGGCCACCTTGCTGAACATGAAGATGTTGCCCACGTGCTGCTCCACGGTGACTGAAACACACGGTGGTGGTCAGCCTGGCTGGCCACTCCTGCAGCAGCCCGGACCACCCCTCCTCCCAGAGTCTGGGAAAGGGGACAAGGTGGGGACAGGGTGCAAGGTCAGGTTCAGCCTTGGCATAACAGCTCATCTCAGGTCACGGAGGAAAACAGGAAGGGCGACCTGGGAGCTCCCAGCCCACATCCAGGCTGCACTCACTGGACCTACGGTTCTTCATCATCACAATGGCACTGAGGAACATGAGGATCTCCACCTCCCTCTGCAACAAAGCACAGGGGGGCTGTGAGCAGCCTGGGCAGAAGGCTATGGTCAGCACAGGCCACATGGCTCCACAGGAGACCCTGTCTCAAAAACCAGATTAAAAGTGAAAAGCAGAAACCTGGACTCAGCTGAGTGATGGTGGGAAAAACGCCAGTCGGAAGAGCTGAGTGCACCCAGCACTGGGGAAGCCGAGGCAGGAAGGTCATTGCAAGTTCGAGACTAGCCATAGCTACAAAGTGAGCTCAAGGCCAACCTGAACTGCACAGTAAGACCCTGTCTCAAAAAAGCCAGTAAAAAAAAAATGCTGAGTGCTTGGGAGCCTTTTGTTCAGTTTTTTTGTTTTGTTTTGTTTGAGACAGGGTCTCACTGTGCAGTTTAAGCTGACTTTGAACTCACTGTGTGGCCCAGGCTGGCTTCAAACTCATCAAGATTATTCTTCTGCCTCGGCCTCCCAAGTGGATCTGGTTTTGATTTTTTGGTGCTGGTTTCTCAAGACATGGTTTCACTATGTAGCCCAGACTGGATTTGAACTTGCAGTCCTCCTGTCTCTGCCTACACAGTGCTGAGTTTACATCTGTGTCCTACATTTTCCCACAGTACCTAATGCCTGTGAGGCAGAAGAATAAGAAATTAAGGCCAACCAAAACTGCACAGGGAAACCTTATCTCTCAAAACAAAACAAAAACCAGGATCTGGCTGTTGCATTTGTGTGGCTCTGCTTAAATGAAACTGTTTCTTCCACCCCATACTTAGAATAATAATGCACATACTTCTAGCATAATCTGAGAACCGAAAAGGCTATAAGAACTCCTGAAAGCCTTTTCAACCCTTGGCACACAGTTCTATCTTTTATAGTGTAAGATAGCCAGCAAGTGAGACAAAAAAAACCAACAGGGTTTTAAAGAGTAAAGGCTGTAAGAATAAGGACCATTTGGGGCTGGGGATTTAGCTCAGCGGCATAAACGCCTGCCTTGCAAGCAGGCAGTCATGAGTTCAATCCCTGGTACTGATAAAAAAAGGAAAAACACACACACACACACACACACACACACACACACACACACAGAATAAGGACCATTTGAGCAAAACCTCCGGATAGACTGGACTGAATACAGACTGGACTCTCAAAGGATTTCCTTCCTTCCTTCTTTTACTTATTCATTTTGTGGTACTCTGTAGTGAGCGACACCCCAGCCCTTTTTTGGGGGGTACTGGGGATCAAACTCATGACTGTGCACTTGCAAGGCAGGTGCTTATGCCGCTGAACTAAATCCCCAGCGCTCCCAGTCCTTTAAAAAAAAAAAATTCTTCCTTTGAGACAGGGTCTTGCTACCTGGCCTCAAACCTGTGGTGATCTTGCTTCAGCCTCCTGAGTACTGGGATTACAGGCATGCACCATTGTTCCCAGCCTTAGAAAATTTTATTCCGAGACAGTGTCTCTGTCCAGGCTGGGCTCTTACTTGCAATCCTCCTGCCTCAGTCTCCGAGGATTCTAAGATTACAGGCCTGTACCACTGTTCCTGTCTTTTCTACATCCTGTTTATAATGGAGGGGAGCATTGTTATTTCAGACAAAACTAGAAATAATCAGAATTTGAGCTTTAATCTGCAATAAAAACTTCAGGTGAAAATATGCACAATGGGAGTGAAGGTCAACAACTGATGTAAAAATGAGGAAGGATTTTCATTAACACAGCTGTTGGGGTCTGAATTCAGGAGCCTCAAGGTTGGGGTACAGTTCAGCAGTAAAACATGCTTGTGGGCCCTGGGTGAGACCCTCATGGGAAGACAATGACAATTGGCAGGCCAAATGCAGGTTGAGGGCCTGCATTCTCAAAGCATAGACAAGCTAGACAGACCCTAGACTGGATTCAGGTCCTCCCTAAAGGCCACAGCTAGACAGGCCTCAGCTCCTGCTTGCTGGGCCAATGAGGAACCAGGATAGGCCAGATGCGTGCAGTGTGTAGTGTGTAGTAGCCCACAGGCCACCTGCTGCCTCTCTGCAGTAGGGAGTCCAGGCATGGGACAAAGCCGAGCTGACTAGTTTCAGGCTGGCCTCAAACTTGGCAGTCTCCCTGCCTCAGTCTCCCAAGTTCTAGGGTTACAGGTGTGTACCATCTACTCTTCTTGTGTTTCTGGTTTTTTGAGATGGTCTCGCTATGTACCCATGCAGTCCCTGAATGCATGATCCTCATGCCTCAGCCTCCTAGATACTGTTTATTTTGGAGCCGGGGGTCTCACTATGTTGCCCAGCCTGGTCTTGAACTCCAGGGCTGAAGGTATCTGCCCACTGTGGCCTCCTCAGGAGCTGGAACAATAGGTGCACACCACTGTGCCTGGCACAGAATGTAAGTCCTAAATGTCCTTCAAGGGCTTTACACGGCTTGGCCTCCAAGATAGAGCCAAGAGGTACAGCCTCTTGGGCAGACAGAACACCCTGGGGTCCACTGTGGGACTCTGGCCCCTCCTTGCTCTTGCTTTCTGTGCTCCAGCTTCCTGCTGAGGAGCCACCTAACCACTAGCCTGAGGCTCAGGGCCAACCAGTCATGGCCTGAAACCTTCACACTGAGGCACAAGCAGCAGCTTTCCACTTGGGAGGCTGAGGCAGAAGGATCACATGTCTTCCCTGGCATACAAGTTCTTCCCTGGCATACACAAGGCCATGGGTTCCACCACCAGTACTGGAGGGGAGAGGGGGTCTAATGGAGAAATTAATTCTGTAAAAGGTCTCCTACATTTATTAAAATCTTTATTACTATTCATGTATACTTTCGAGTCTCATCTTTACTGTGACAGAGAATCTCTTGAAATAGCATGGCTACCTTTTAGCTAACAAATAATACTGTCTGGAAAAGGCTAGCAGTGGCAAGAGAGGAGGAGCCAAGAAAAGCTAAGAGAATACGTTCTGGTAAAAGTCGAGACTCATTCTGGGTGCCTGAAAAGGACAGCAATCCTAGGGAACTGCTTCATTGTGTGCCCCTCTTAGCCCTCCCGCCAAGGCATGGTTTCAGACTGACTGACTTCATTCTTTCCATAACTGGGGACTGAACCCACAGTGCTCCACCACTGAGCTACAGCCTCAGTCCTCTGTACTTTGAGGTAGGATTACACTAAAATGCCTAGGCTTCCCTTGGGATTTTCCTGCCTCAGACACTGCAGTAGTGGGTTTCCAGGCCTGGGCGCTGAGCTGGGCAAGGTGGATTTGTTTACAATGTATTTTTAGCCTTTTTTAAAAAATGTATCTCAATATGTGACTCAGCTTTGCATCCCCAGCATCCTGCACAGTGGTTAGGAGACTGTAGATTCTGGAAATGAGTAAGTACGACAGTGTGTGCAGCTACTGTGCTGAAGATGGGGGCACTACCGACCTCGCCGCCTGGCTCCTGGGGGCATTACGTAATAAGCGGCACTGTAAAGTGCTGTGCAGATGCAGGACTGTCGCTTAGCACGAAGATGAGATGTAAGTACACGTAGCCTGTGTCATCCCAGCATTCCGGAAGGCTGAGGCAGGACGCTTTCAAGTTTCATCTTAAACCAGGCAACTTAGCGAGACCCTGTCTCAAAATTTCTTTTCTTTTTTTTTTTTTTTTTTTTTTTTTTGTCTTTCTCCTTTTTATCGGTACCGGGGATCGAACTCAAGACTGCCTGCTTGCAAGGCAGGCAGGCGCTTATGCCTCTGAGCTAAATCCCCAGCCCCCTCAAAATTTTTTTTTAAAAAGGCAGGGGATGCGGTTCAGCTGGAGAAGGCTGATTCTAGCCCCAGAAGCGCAGGGATGGGCTCAAGACCAGACGGCCTAGTAGTCCGCAGGAGCTACGACCCTGGATCGGTGTTCTCTCCTCCGAACACCAGAGCTCGCTGACGGCGGGCGCCCTGCACTTTAAGTCGCCCGGAGCCCCGGCCCGGCCGCACCTGCGCGCAGGGACCGTCAAGGTCGCCGACGGCAGAGACAGGGGGCGCTCACCCAGTCAAAGTCGCACGGGTTGCCGTCTTCGCGCTGGGTGGGTAGACCGTTGCAGAGGGGCGGCAGTTTCCTCACGAGTAGGAAGGCGGCAGAGAGCAGCGCTGACAGGAGGCAATAAGGCCGGGCCAGCCATCGTGACAACCGCGGCACCGAGTACACCAAAGCAATCAGAGGGGCGAGGACCGCCATCTTTCCGGCCCTCGCGGCGCCCGCCGCTCTGCAGTCTCAATAGGCCCGGCCCCGCCCCCATACCCCGAGATGTTATTGGGCCAAAACTCGAAGGCACGGCCTTTGGGCCCAGAAGTAGATCTTTGATTGGACGTTACATTAGGCCCGCACTGAAAGAGAGATGCAAAACTTCATTGGTCACAATAGCTGTCGCTTTTGTAACCTAAGTCATTTAATTGAAGATGTAGCTTTGACGAGACCCTATGAGAGACGAGTTTAATAAGGTCAGCTAGAACTTCCTGAACGTTCTCAAAGAGCGACGGAAGTAGTCGCCGGAAGAAATTAGGCGTGCCCGAGGTATCCAATGACCTGAGGTCCCTACAGGAAGGGGGCGGCACCCAGTCAAAGGATTGCCCAATGAAAATCACTAACGCCCTACACACAAGCAGCTCCGGGCCGCTGGGACGATGGAGAATTTCACCGCGCTGTTCGGAGCTCAAACTGACCCACCACCGCCCCCAACAGCACTCAGTTTCGGACCAGGAAAGCCTCCACCTCCGCCTCCGCCTCCTCCGGGCGGGGGACCCGGCACGGCCGCGCCCCCTACCGCGGCCACGGCTCCTCCAGGTGCAGACAAGTCAGCGGCCGGCTGTGGCCCCTTCTACCTAATGAGGGAACTACCAGGTGAGTACTGAGCCTTGCGGAAGCCAGCCAATCGGATCAGAGCTAGGAGTGATGGGCGTGGCTACCATGAGGTGCGAGGTAACCTAGGCAACACGTAACCAGCTCCTGTACTTCTAAGAGGATTGTCAGGAGTCACTGCCGGTTAGCTTGAAGATAAGGACGTATTGGAGTGGGTAGGTGGGCGTCTCTGGGGAAGTCTTTGGTTTTAAATTCAGATCCTGTCACTGTGTGGCTTCTTTAAAAAAAATGTGATCCAGGGGTTGAGTTTGAACCTAAAGTTTTAGTTTCCAGTGTGCCACAAATTTGTTGGCGTGACGCAAGCTGTCTTTTCAGGGAATCGATGATTCATCTGTTCAGAGGTAAGGTGGGGCTAAAAATTGAACCAAATCTTTTTTTTTTTTCCAAAAAAATATTTGGAAAAAGACCTGGGAGAGCACACCTGTAATTCTAGCACTTGAGAAGCAGAGGCAGGAGGTTCGAGTCCACCACGGGCAACTTAGAGATTTAGCAATGCTTTGTCTTAAAATAGGAAACACCAAAAGGGCTGTGGATGTAGCTCAGTGAAGGCTGTGGGTTCCATCCTCGATGCCGCAAAAGAACAGGAACGCTGGAGTTATACTGTGAACAAGATTGATAAGACCCTTACCTTTGGAAGTTTGCAAATCAGCAGAGGAGGTAAAATGTAAACAAGGGAACATTAGATAGTGGTTACCAGTACAAGGAGTAACAGTAAATAATTCAGAGTATAGAACGACTTTATAAAGTGACCACAGAACTGTCTCGCAGTGGACGTTTGAGTCAGTTGGGTGTGGACAAATGGCTGGGAACATACAGACAGGAGGGAGAGATACTCTCTGTATCAGGAGTCTGGATGGGAGAAAAGCCTGGAGACTGCTGGACAGAAGTCCTGCGCAACCCCAGTGATGAGAACAAGGCAAGGGTGTTGGGACAGAAAGCGAGACAGGTGGGGAGGCACAGGCCTTTGCCGGCAAGGAGCCATTCAGATTAGGCCCACACTCAAAGGCAGTCTTAACATGGGAGGGAAATGATTGATTTTATGCATTTTTAATTATTCAAACAGCTAAAGCACAAAATGGGGACAGTCGTGAGAAGTTACTGCTCAGTAGTCAAAGAAGAGGCTATGATTGGCTGTGAATGCATGTAGGATACAGGTCTGCTGCCAGTAATGAAGAAACGGATATAAACATAGGAGGAATCGGTGATTTGTGCGAGTTGAGCTTTAATACTTGGTGGTTTGGAGTTTCAGATTGTGAATGATGAAATGAGTTTGAGGAGGTGGAAGTCAGATTGTTTTGGATGTGTTAAGTCTCCAGAATGTGTTTAAGTGTGGGACAGGGTCTTAGTTGCCCAGGCTGGGCTCAAATTTATTATCTTCCTGCCTCAGCCTCCCAGAGTGCTCGGATCACATGCATGGCCAGCATGCCACATTCTTTCCAAGTTTTCTTTTCCCTTAAATTCATTTCATGATTTAAGGGAAGTGACAACTATTGGAAAAGCACTTGGAAGTGCACAACACAATGGTATAATAGTGTTTAATGCATACAGTAGTTCTGGAAGTAGGAATATCTCCATTTATAGTTGAAAAAAACTGAGGCATAACAAGGTTGCCTATCCTTTGATTAAGCTAAATTCCTAGCCCCCTTTTATTTATTTAGGAAAAAAGATCTCTCTAAATTGTTCCAGCAGGACTCAAATTTGTAATTCCCAGGGGCTGGGGATTTAGCTCAGCGGCATAAGCGCCTGCCTTGCAAGCAGGCAGTCGTGAGTTCAATCCCGATAAAAAGGAAAAAGACAAAAAAAAAATTGTAATTACCCTGCTTCAGCCTCCCTCATGGTGGGATTATAGGTATGCATCACTATTCCAAGATTGGTCTTTGCTTTGAAAGTGTATTTAGTTAAGAATATAAAATGTGGTTTAGAGGCTGGGGAGTTTTAGCTCAGCTGCATAAGTGCCTGCCTTGCAAGCAGGCAGTCGTGAGTTCGATCCCCGGTACCAATAAAAACAAAAAAGAAAAAAAAAAGTGGTTTATGCATAGCAATTATATTTGTCAATGCCACTCTTGTCAGTTGGTGGTTATGTGTTGCATATAGGAGTTACCAGTATCCTAGCAAATAATTTTAAAAATTTGTCTGACAGTTTTCAAAATGCGTTGTCCAAGATGATAGTAAGAGTAAGGTGTCATCTGAACAGAATCATGAAGAATTTACAGAGCCAGAAAGTTAGGAAGAATTTTCCTAAATGGAGCAGTAAACCTGCCCTCCACACCAAGAGACATGTACACCACTTGGATGGACCCAGAGTTCAGTAGGTGGCACAGCAGAAGCTGGAGTGAAATGTGGTCTGGCTTTGGTGCCAGTCAGAAATGGGAGCTTTCCCCTGGGGCCAGGAGGAAGCCTTGGAGATTTCTGAGCTGAGGAGTTCGGTGTTATGAAACTACCTGGGAATGTGAGTGGCAGGGACTATAGGAAAAGAGCCGTGAGGGATGTGAGCAGGATCAGGAATTCCCTCCCAGAAACTCTGAACGGCCAGAATTGGTAAACAAGAGTCAGGGCTGGGAGCCAGGTATGTACCTCACCTTCACAGAACTAAAAGTTGAAACAGACAATTAAAACTCTGGGGAGCCTTTCGCTGGAGTGCCTTTTGCCTTGAATGGACTGTCACCCCGGAACAGCTGGCAGGCAGGCGGAGGAGATGACCCTGAGGGCGCAAACCTGCAGAAAACAAGCCCTTTCTTCTCCCTGGGCCCCTGAGGACCAGAGCCTTGGGTCATTTTGCTGAGCTGTGAGGTGCCATTATCCTGTTGATGTCAGAGAGAATTCACGTGACATTTTCTGAAAAGCGCACACGCCAGTGTTTAGTACAGAATAGTTGTTACTCTGGCTGTCTGTTCTTGTTTATTATATGTTATCACAGCTCAAGTGTCCGTATCCAAAACTCTGGAGACCAAAAGTATTTTGGAAGCCGGGTGTGGTGGCACACTCCTGTAATCCCAGCACTCAGGAGGCTAAGGCAGGCAGATCCTTGCAAGTTTGAGACCAGCCTGGGCTACAAAGTGAGCCCAAGGTCAGCCTGAACTGCATAGTGAGACCCTGTCTCAAAGACAATAAATAAATAAATACAAAAATGTTTTGGATTTCAGGCTATTTGCCTGATAAATTGCTTAATATCCACATTTATGTATTGCTTTTTTGATGGTTCTGGGGATTGAATCCAGGGCTACATCCCCAGATCTTTTCTCTCTTTTGAAATAGGCTTTCACCAAATTGCACATGGTGGCCTTGGACTTGCTATCCTCCTGCTTCAGCCTCCTGAATAGCTAGGATTACAGAGGTACATACTATACCCAGCTAAAATCTGAAACTGAGCATTATGGCGGAATTCAGTGTTTCCATGGCATTTAGATGCCAGATTTTCAGATTAGGGTTGGTCAACCTGTATTGACATTTTTGTTTTTGGTACCCAGAATCAAACTCAAGACCTCGAGCTTGCCAGGTAGGCGCTGTTCTGCCGAGCTGTATCCCAGACAGTGTTTACTTTTGCTATATTTCTTACTTTAGAAATTGAAAGCCTGTCAGTTCCCACTTAAAAGCATCTGCACTTAGGTGGCAGCACAGCCTGCATCTCGGTAGTGAGCTGCCTCTCTGCTGGGCACTGACCACTGTTTCCACCCTCTGATCTTGCAGGCGGTACAGAGCTCACGGGCAGCACCAACCTGATCACACACTACAATCTGGAGCAGGCCTACAACAAATTCTGCGGGAAGAAAGTCAAAGAGAAGCTGAGCAACTTCCTGCCCGACCTGCCTGGGATGATTGACCTGCCTGGTTCCCATGACAACAGCAGCCTCCGCTCCCTCATTGAGAAGCCCCCTATCCTGGGCGGCTCCTTTAACCCCATCACAGGGACCATGCTGTCCGGTTTCCGGCTCCACACTGGCCCAGTGAGTCCCCCCCACGCAGGGTAGGTGGGGTGTTATTCCGCCCATCCCTCCTGGTGTACTGAGCATCCCCTGTGCCCCCACCCTGCCCCGTGTCCTGCAGCTGCCCGAGCAGTGCCGCCTCATGCACATCCAGCCTCCCAAGAAGAACAAGCACAAGCACAAGCAGAGCCGCGCGCAGGACCCGGTGCCCCCAGGTGTGTGGCCTGGGGGCCAAGGAGGAGGCAGGAGGGAGAGGGAGGGAAAGGGGGAGGGAGGAACCGGGGCCACCAGGTGCCAGCCCTGCCTGTCCCGCAGAAACACCTTCAGACTCAGATCACAAGAAGAAGAAAAAGAAAAAAGAGGAGGACCCAGAACGGAAACGGAAGAAGAAAGAGAAAAAGAAGAAGAAGGTAGGGCAGGCCTGTGCCTGCAGCCCAGGAGCTTCCTGGTCACGTGCCAGGTGCTAGCCCGAGAGGGGTGCTGCGGGGTCTCCTGACCCGACCCGACCCAGGGTCTTTACACCGCCTTCCTTGTGCCCCAGAGCCGGCACAGCCCCGACCACCCCGGCATGGGCAGCTCCCAGGCCAGCAGCAGCAGCAGCCTCCGCTGACGGGACGAGTGACCCTCCTGCGAGGCAAGGACCCACAGGAGGAGTGGCACCGGCCCCGGGGCAGGACCCGGACCCAGACCCAGACCTGCCCAGCCACTTCCTGTCGGACCTCCTCCTCTCCCAGGAAGCGTTTTGTGTCTCTTCCTTTCCTTTGTGCAATTTGTCTGATTTTAGGACTTGACTTGTTAGGATTTTTCACTAAAAAAAGTTGAATTATCAAACTGGCTCCAGTATCTGCCTGGTAAGAAGTTAGGTGGGGGTGGTGGCATAGCCTATGATCTCAGCACCCTGTCTCCAAATACGGGTTTAGAGAGGGCTGGGGGTACTAAGGGGAAAAGCGCCTTCCCCTACAGCAGGGCATAAGCGACCTGGGCTGGCCTGCACAAAGTTCCACAGAAAAATTTTTTTAAAAAAGGTGGCAAGGCAGGGCCAGGGCCAGGTCCCTCTCCCTGCAGACACCAGTGGCTCTGCCGTGGGGTCTGGTGGGGGCTTCAGGAAAAGTTGTGTGGTACATTCCAGCAGGGAAGACGCCTGCTGCGTGCTCCGGGCCATCAGACCTGCTGAGTCTGGCCCCGCAGCATGGAGGCTGATTGCTCCACGTTTTCAGTTTCAGTGGGAAACACCAACGGCTGGCCTGGCTGGAGCCAGCAGGGCACAAATGCTAGCCAGGGGCAGCAGCCTGCAGGGACCCCACCACACCCAGGCCTTGCCTCAGCCTCCTCAGGGCTCACCAGGCCTCCAGGTGGGAGCGTGCATTCAGATTGAGGACTTGGAGCTCCTGCAGCCAGGCGCACCCTCCCCACACCAGGGCCACCACCTCTTTGCTGGGTAGGGGACCTGAGCAGAACCGCAGTCCATCTGCCAAGCGCTCTCCCGGTGGGGAGAGGGGGTTTCCGCACCTCTCCTAGCTGGGGAAACTAAGACCTGAGGCAAGCCCCACCCTCCCACCCCCAAGCTCAGCAGGAGTCAGATTCCTAGGCCAGACTTGAGCTTTTCTGTTTTTTCATCGTGGGGCTTGAACCCAGGGCTTGCACACTGGGCAAGTGCCCTGCCACTGAACTTGTGTTTTGAGACAAGGTCTTGTTAGATTGCATTTAAATGTGTGGTCCCCCTCCTCAGCCTCCTGAGTAGCTGGCATTACAGGCTTGCACTGCTGTGCCTGGCTTTTTTTCTCCCAGAAATCGTAATTATTTTAAACTGTGAGGGTGGCAAACCCCTATACCCCTCATACTCCTGGAGGCTCAAGCAAGGAGACTGCTGAGTTTTAGGCCATCCTGGGCCACATAGTGAGTTCAAGGCCAGCCTGAACTACATAGCAAGATCCTGTCTCAAAAACAAAACTATTCACCCCATTAAAGCAGGGCCTGCTGCTAAAAGTCACCTCCTGTCTACCTGCGCCCTCCGAGCACAGCCCGCCGGTTCGAGACAGACAACACAGCGGGCGCTGGTGAGAGCAGGATTTCTTTATTCCTCATTGGTTTAAAATGGCTAATCAGAATAAAAAATAAATGGGCCTCTGTGCGGAGGCTGGGCCTTCCCTCGTAGAGTCAGAACCCAGCATCCTCTCTACCCAGCACATCTGGGCTGGACCGAGGGGCAAACCCCCCGGGGAAGACGGAAGGGCCTGGGCCTGCCACTCCTTCTCTCATCCCCAGTTTTTGGCATGTGATTAAAAATATTGCTTTTTGGATTCTTTACTCCTGTCCTTTGATTTAAAATTACATTAACCATGTAAGCTGGAGAGCTTTTGGAGGGGCTCATGAGCCCCTGCTCTCCCCAGAAGGGGCAGACCGGACCCCGCACCCTGCCAGCCGTGTGTCCAGAGCTGTGGCCCTTCCCAGGGGGGCCCAGAAGCCCCTCGTCCCACCTCACCTACGCTTGCCAGGCCCAGGCCCTGCTCCTGCCTGTCACGGCACCCACTGAGGATGTTGGTTCCTAGGTGGTGACGGGGGCAGGGAGCCTCGGCAAGAAAGAAGGCAACTGTCTTCCTGCCGGCTGAGGAGAGGGCAGAGTGCCACCCCGACGTACAGAGCCCTCCCCATCTTCCCAGCCCAGGATAGATATATAATTTCTTTGATATTTATAATATATATAATATATATATATATGTACACACACACCTGGTAACGCAGAAGAGGAAAAAAATAGAATCCGTAACAATAATAAAAAAAATTTCTGGTTTAAAAATGATCTGGTTCCCTCCAGAGCGAGCATTGCACAAGTCCACTGAGGCTGGTGGGGGCGGCCCTCCATGTGTCCATCCGCCCGTCCGCCCTCCGAGGTTTCACTGCACATGGGCGAGGGCGCCCGCAGAGAGGCGGCAGGGCCCTTTGGTGTAGGCAGGCGAGCAGGTGTGGCGCGGCTCACACAGAGATCTCGTAGGTGGTGCCGCCCACCCCAGACACCTTCTTCACACCGCCCCGAGTGGGGCTGCTGAGTGGTGCCTGCCCTGGGCCGGGTGAGGCCGGGCCCATGCTCTTCGGCTGCCCATTGGATTTGCTGTAGGCGCTCTTTAGCTGCACTTCGTCTCTGGAAGAGGAGGGCATGTGGGTGTTAGAAGGGCATGACCCCACCTCTGCCCAGGGCCACCCCCTCAACTATCTGGGGCTCCCCATTCCCCAACAGGCCAGCCTACTTACTTGGGGGTCAGTAGGGGCTGCAGAGCCACCTCCTCCGCCTCCGAGACGCCGGCTGGAGCTTTTTGGCTGCTGTAAGTAGTGGACCTGCCCAGGAATGGGGCGGCTGGACCCGGATCAGGAGACCCTAAGCCACGGCCCCGGTGCCCCTCGGGCTTCCCGAAGCGGGGCGCAGTGGGGCGGCCCAATGGAGTCTTGGCCAGCGGTGAGTGCTTGGCCTCATCAGGGGTGACACCGGTACGTGGCACATGCCCGGAGCCCGGCGTTGGCTGTGCACCAGAATCCCCCACACCAGCGGCCTCCTCACGGCCTGGGCCCGGCAGTGGTGGTGACTGGCGCAGCAGCTTCTCCCGTTCCTGCAGCGAGGCCACAATGTGGCGCGACAGATTGTCGTATCGGACGGGGGATGGCTCACGGGGTGGGCCAGTGGGCGCCAGGCGCGGGTGCCGCTCAGCCTCACGCTGCTGGGCCAGGCGCGCAGACAGGAAGGGTGAGGTGTAACCCAGCGGTGGCTCGGGCTCTGGCCCAGCCTGTACTGACTCAAAATCGGGGCTGTCCGACGGCGTGAGGAGGCTGTCGTAGGACAGGCTGCCGTTACGTGTCTGGTTGGCCAGGCTCTTGTAGGACGTGGAGGTGGTGCCCTCAGAGCGGATGGACTGCAGCTGACCCAGCTCAAAGCCTGTGCCCTGGGCTGACTTGAGGCTGGAGGAACGGGAACCACTGGAGAGAGGGTCGAAGTGAAAGCTCTTGCCAAAGGTCGGGGACCGGAAGCTCTCAGGCTCCAGGCTGGGCTCCGAGCGGTAGCTGGGATGGCGGCTGCTCTCCGCGATGGAGGTGGGCTCCCTCAGGCTGTCCCCACGGCTCAGCTGAGGAGAAGGACACTACTCAGCGGTGCCCATCTTCCTCCAGCCCCCCTTTGGTGCTCACTGCTACCCTACCTTGGCGCTGGAGGAGTGCGGCATGGCAGCCGATGCGCTGCTGCTGCTGTAACCCGGCCGGTACTTGTACATGGTGGGCGTCGGTGGGCTGTCCTTACCCAACAGGCTGCTGTCTGCAGGGAGAGAGCCAGGGGCCGGTCCCAAGCTGCTCTTCTGACCACAGCCTGAAGGGACAGGGTAGGGGCCGAGCAGGAACAGGTCCACCCAGCAAAGGTGCCAGGCGTGGTGGTGCACTCCTGGAATCCCAGCACTCTGGGAGGTTGAGACAGAAAGAACCTGCCTTCCAGTCGAGTCTGGGTTGAAACTTAGTGACTTAATGAGATTTCGTCTCAAACATTAAAAAAGGCCAGGGATGTAGCTCAGTGTGAAGCCCCTATGGCCAAGCCCCAGGACCCCAAAACAAGAGAAGGAACATTGGGGGCACATAGTGCACTGCGGTGGGGAGGCACCACACCAGCAGTTCTGGAAGGCCCCTGGACTGCCCAGAAGCCGACAGGGGTGAATGGCATCTGTCCTCCGCCAGCCCCCCACCAAAGCAACCTGCTCAAGTGATGCCCTGGGGCACCCTCCCACCAGCCCCAGCCCCAGCCCTCACCCTCATGCGGGGCCAGGCTGAGGTGCGTGCGCAGCCCTGTGTAGCGGCTCAGGTCTGGTTTGGGTGGCGGCGGCGGCTCTGCATCTGCTGACTGGCTTTCTGTGATCTCCAGGCTGCCCTTGGACTACATGGAGGGGAGGGAGGAGGGAGGGAGGCAAAGACATTTAGGGTTGCAGGGCCCACATGGACTCCGTGGAGCTCGGTATCAGTCCTTTCATTGTTTCTGTTTTTTTTAATTTTGTTTTTTTCTTGTTTTTGAGACACGGTCTTGCTATGTAGTTCAGTAGTTCAGGCTGGTCTCGAACAGTGATCCTCCTGCCTCAGCCTCCCTGAGTGCTAGGATTACGGGTATGCACCACCACACCCAGCTTTTTTTAATTAATTTTATTGGTACATTTCAGATATACATGCTAGGGAAGCTGTGGCTGGATACCTCTTACTTTTTTCCCCATTTCCCTTTCCTCCCTTCAACCCCTCTTCTCATTTGCACAAAAGCTTTGTTTCCATTTTCTTCTTTCTATTCTTTCCCTTCCTTCCTTTCTCCCTCCCTCTCGCCTTCCAGTTCCCCCTCCCATTTCTATTGTCTGTGAGGCATTTCTCCCACCAAAGAAGCAATGCAGTATTAGATGTGTGTGTGTTACCGGGCATTCTCACCCAGGACTGTGGACAAAGCGCACGGAGCTTCCCACCCCACTGTCACCTACTTGTCCATTTCAATCACACTACACACACACTACACACACACACACACACACACACACACACACACACACACACACACACACACGTCCCGCTCCTATCACCTGCAAGCTGGAAAGTCTTCCCATGAAGACATCCAAACAACTGTACAGGACTTCTACTGCCTGAACTCAGAGTCTAGTGAAAAGACAGGGACTGCAAGGACTGTGAGCTCACAGTGGCCCCATGAGGAAGCTGCAGACCTAGGGAAGATTTCCCGCAGACCTGTGCCTCGGCAGAGCCCACACTCAGCATTCATGGCCTTCACCCTTCCGCGCCCTCACCTTCGTCCTCCTCAGCTCCCCTTGGATGCCATTATCCATGATCTTCACCGTGATCTGCCCATCCGACACTTCTGGCCGAAGGAAAGGAGGTCTGATGACAATCGTCTTCTCCTTCTTTGGTCTCCCCAAATACCTGAGTTGTAGAGAGAAAAAAGGCGTCCTTCCTATGCCCCTGCCTTCCCCCTAGAACCCCCTGCCTGCTGCTTGGGTGGGAGAGCAGTCAGGTGATGCAGGAGCATGCTGCAGGCCACCTGTCAGGTCACCACTTTTCTCAGTTCAGTCAGGCTGGGGACTTTCGCTGAATAACGGCTGAAGGGCTGTTTCCAAATGGGAAAATTCAGTTACATCTGTGGTCCACTTCTGATGAAAAGTTGCACCAATAAGGCATTTTATCACCAGATTAAAAAATAATGATCATTTAAAAACTAATGTATTCAGAGCTGAGCATGGCAGCATATGCCTATAATCTCAGCATTTGGGAGGCCAAGACAGGAGGACTGCCATGGGTTCGAGGCCAGCCTGGGCAATTTAGCAAGAGACTTGTCTCAAAAAAAAAGCAGGTATTTAAAATAAACCACAACAAAAGCCATGTATATGTCAGACTTTGTTTTGAAGCTTTACCCCAAACCTGAATGCAAAGATGTTGTGTTATAACTTTTTTTTTTTGTCTTTTTCCTTTTTATCGGTAACAGGGATCGAACTCACGACTGCCTGCTTGCAAGGCAAGCGCTTGTGTTATAACTTTTAAAGCCATATAAATAAGCGTGCTCACCTAAAGACTTAAAAGCAGGCTTGTAAATATTTTTAAGGAGTTTTATTTGAACACTAACATATAGCAACTACCACAACAAAAACAAACAGAAAAAGACCCTACTTATTGCCAAACACATGACATAATCCCAGCCAGGAGCAAAGCCCTGGGTTTAACCTGCAAACCAAAACACCTGTCCTGCCAGGGGCTGGGGCCAGTGGGCCTGCCAGTGGGAGGGGCGGCAGCAGAGGTTCTCGGTTCCATCACAAACTGCAGCATGCTGGGCCGGGCAGCAGGCACTAGCTCCAGGCCTTCAGGGTCTCATGTACTGTCCACTCACATAAGCTCAGCCAGCAGGACCCACAAGGTCTGGAAGTGTGGATACCTCTGCCCCCCCATCAGGTTCTGACCTTTCTGAGACCAACACCAAGACCCGACCCCAGAACCCAGAGAAGGGAAAGTGTGGGCCAGGGCAGCACCCAGCCAGAGGCAGTGGTGGTGGCGACGGCAACATACCGAGGCGCTGGCGAGCTGCAGAGCACACGGCTGACATTGTTACAGCAGCCATTGGTAAAGGGGTTCACACCGCCCCGGAATTTACCCGTAACCTAGAAAAGACAAAAGGATAGACCAGTCGTGGGTGGAGTCCATGGTGGGACAGTCCAGGGTGGAGGCCAAAGCGTCTCCGTCGCAGGTTATTCTGCAGCTATCCAGGGATGCAAAGGGAAGCAAAAACCCAAGCAACCATCCCAAGCTTCCACTCAGGAGGGCTGTGAGAGGGACTCCAGAGTCTGCAGGGACAGTGTGTGACCCCAACACTGGTTTCCCATATACCCAGGTGTCAAGTCACCTGCAGCTGTCCAAGCCCCTTATACCAAGGCACAGCATCTGTCCACCTGACAAACCTGCAGTCATCGCCCGGGGAACCACCCAAGGAACGAACACGAACACACACACACGCACACGCACACACACACACACACACGACCTCTCCGAAGCGCCTGACTGCATCTTGGGCAAGCTACGAAGACTGCTGCCTACACTCCTCCGCCTCAGCAGGAAACGGCCACCATGGCAGCATCCCCAGCTGGCACTGCCCACCACCCTGCCGCGGCTCCGCACCTGCTCATTGGTTGTGCGTCCCCTGGCCACCAGCACCACGTGAAATCCCGTGAGGCCCGCGACGGGGATGAAGAACAAGCCTGCCACACACATTACTGCCATACTGATGCCAAGCAGTCAAGGAGAACGGCCCAGTCCTGAGCCGCCTTCCCAGTCCCAATTCCTAGGCTCTTCTGCCCGACCCACACACCAAGGCCCGAAGGATACGTGACAGCCGTGCGGACGCCTGAGAGCTCTTCCAAGTGGTAGAGGACATACAGGAGGCCAAAGCCAAACACGCCCATGATGTGGGCCGTCAGGGAGAGGAGGAAGAGGAAGAAGTAGCGGTAGTTCCGGCGTCCGATGCAGTTATTCACCCAGGGGCAGTGGTGGTCGAACTCCTAGGCAGAGAGATTCAGCCTGAGGGGCACTCAGGAGCTGGTATGGACTGAGCCCCAAGGTCGCCACACCAATGCAGGCCAGAGCAGCGCCCCCCACCCCTGTGGTCCTGTGGGAGGGCGTGCCAAGGTGGAGGCTGAGGCCAGTTCTTGCATCTCCAGGATCGTCATGTTATAGGCTCTGTACATCAGTCAAAATTCAGGAGACGGGCTTTGGAAGGAATGCTAGCAGACAGCTGCTCACGGCCAGGTAAGATATGAGTAAACAGAAAAGGGGATGCAGAGGGAGCCAGGAAGAGAGGCAGGACTGACTATGGCCAGTGCATGCCCTCTGCCACACATCGGATTCTCAGGAGTCCCCCACCACCACAATGGGCACTTCTGGGCCTGCACTCACCTCCACACAGTTGTCACAGACGCTGCAGTGGGAGCAGCGCGGCGGCCGGTAGAAACGACAGGTGGCGCACCACTTCATGCGCACCTGGATGCCCTTGATCTCCACTGTTTTGTACAGGGGAGCTCGGAAGTCATCCTCTTTGTCCTCATCCTCCTCCGCTAGGGGAAGGAAAGGTCTGTTAACACAGCTCAGCCAAACACGAGGAAGCTTAGGAGGGACTGAACCACACATGAGGAACGCAGCAACATCAGGGGCCGGAGACAGGTAATGACAACCTAATGCATGAAAGGAGATGGATGCTCTGAGCAGACCCGTGGCCTGCAGGAAAAAGAGGCGCTATCTGGGTGTGCCTTGGAGGACTTCCGGAAAAGCTAAGGGACTGGACTGTACCCACCTGGGCGCAGCTGTGCACCCAGGCAGGATTTATTTACACTGGGAACCGATATTGAAGGGAAAACGATCCCAAGGAAGGACACTCTGCCACATGGGCACTGCCACCTCTACCCCACATGCACGGATGCACGGATGCACTCCGAAAACGGCGGTCACTGGCATGTCCAAACAGCTCGTCCAAACAGGGCGAGCCTGCAGGATCATGCAGCACTGCAGGGGTACTTTCTTCCCACAGCCCCAGGAGTTGCACACATACACACCATCTTTCTCCAGTTTTGTTTTACTGAGACAGGGTGTCACCTAGGCCAGCCTCAAACTCAATCATCTCCCAGCTTCCACCTCCCAGATGCCGTGAAGACACATGTGTACCACCACATCTGGCCACTGTTTCTGGCTTGTACCTTGATGGCCCCCAAGCCCTCACGTGGCACAGGTGGGGACTTCAGGAGATGGCTCCGTCACGGGTGTGTGACTCTGAGACTGATTCACGGAGCGACACTGGGATTCAGACTGCCTCTCTGGGCCTAAGGGCAGACAGCTTGGATAGAACATAAAAGACAGAAATAGTGCTGCTGCCACTGCTCATTGCTTATTGCTTTGATACTTCTTTTTTTTTTTTTGTCTTTTTCCTTTTTATCGGTACCGGAGATCAAACTCATGACTGCCTGCTTGCAAGGCAGGCGTTTATGCCGCTGAGCTAAACCTCCAGCCCTGCTACTTCTTCAATACTCTGCCTTCTTCTGCTCGTCCTGCATGAGCTCTTTCTCCTGTGGGATGCCCTCTGCCATGCTATCCTGCCTTGGAACCAGCCAATTATGCACTGAAAACTCTACAAACTAAGAGCTAAATATAAACCTTTCCTCCTTTAACTTTGAGTGTCAGGCCACTTTCTGTTATGTTTAGTGTTTCTGAGCCAGGGTCTCATTACAGTGAAGGCTGGTCTTAAACTCACCATGTAGCCTATGCTGGCCCCAAACTGGTAGCAATCCCTGTTTCAGCCTCCTGGATGCTGAGATTACAGGTGTGTGCTACCATGCCCAACAGGTGTTGGGTGTTTCGTCTCAGCAATGAGAAAAGTAACTAAGACAGCTATACAGGGCCATAAGACTAGGCCCACTGGACCCTTCCCTTACTTTTCTAGTGTAGATCTGTACTTTAGTATTACAGTAGCTGGCTGTGAATCTCAGTACCTTTCCCTGAAGGATACAGGAAGCAATCTATGTGTATTCCAGTATGACAAATGGCAAGCAGTATGCTTGTGTGCAAAAGTGGCAAAACAGTATTTGGATCCTCTTTTACATTCTGGTCAGCCAGTTTTGTGTATGTTTAACCAAGCATCCCCCAGGGTCCAACAGACCCCTGCCAATTCAGGATTTGTTTAAAAAAAAAAAAAAAAAAAAGACATTTTGCTTTTGAATTTTTTTTGATATAAGCAGGCTATTTCAATAAAATGGCACAAAAAAATCAGGTTTGAAAGTTTTGGAGGAAGTCAAAAGTGAATCATCAGATTACTCATGCATGGAAGACGAAGATGATCCATTATGGTAAAACATGTGTTTCCATAACAGAAGAGTGGCGTGGGTAGATGATGATGATGATGATGATGATGATGATGATGATGATGATGATGATGATGATGATAATGATAACTCTGGCATGTGAGCCAAAGTTCCTGTGACACTGAAATGGAGCGAGAATCGGCTGATAGGTCAGGCATGGTGGTGCACACCTATAATTCCTGCACTTAGGAGAATGAGGCAGGTATAAAGTTGATAGTGAAACACTGTCCCTACCCTCAACCTCAAAAAAGAGTAAGAATCAACTGATGCAGACACAGGGAATACAGACATCCTTGACTCAGGTGACAAAGAAAATAGCAATGTGAGTACATAATTAGTAAAATGTTGAGAAATGGCCATGCAACCAAATGTAATGATCTAGTATTAGAACTAGGTAGGAACAAGTAGTACAGGGCTGGAGAGGTCGTTCAATGGCTTAGGCACCTGCCTAGCAAGTGTGAGGTCATTTGATCCCAGGTAACCCCCCCCACCAAAAAAAAGGCAGTAAAGGTCTTGATGGGTGAAATATATTGGACAGAATGCCAGCACTGCCATTCAATGTTGGAAACTGTAACAAATCAAATGCTACAAGATGCTATGAAATACACAGAGGCTGAAATGCAAGTAAAATGTTCTGAATGCACCAATAGCCACATTCGAAAACATATTTATTATGACAGCTCACTAGCTGAACTTGAAGTATTTATATGTCTGCTATATTTAGCACAGATTTCTTACTGTGATTGGAGGAATGGAAAAGACTATAGAAAAGCAATGGGTCAAAATATAGCATAAAAATTTATTCCCCTGATGATATGAAGACGTACTCTCTCTCAATCTAGACATCTACCCTGGACCTCAGCCACCACCTTCTTCATACAGTAACAAACGCAATGAATTTGTGAACAGACTTATTGCTCCCACCTCTCAAGCTAATTGGAATGTCAGATTCAACAAATGGTTACATTTCCAATCCATGTCACATTCAATAACAGGGAACAAGGTGACCAGGTAAGAACTGTACTCAAAAACAAAGCAGAAATTCCAAATGAAATGTTCCAATTTCAAAACAACTGTACGGTACAATCCTTGGATTCCATAAAGATGAAACACTGGTCTTGTATATGGCAGAGGAATGCAAACTTGTACTGCTGATATCAACATCTCACCATGACAGAAACAGTGATAGGGAAACCTTGATGACAAATGGAAGGCTGAGAGGGAGACTTCCTATAACAGGACGGAAGTGGGGTAATGTTGATGAGTTACGCAGCAACTACAATGTCACTGGAAACACAAAGCACTGGCCTAGGGCTGTGTTTCACTTGATCCTAAATATGTGCGTCATGCAAAGTCTGACAGTTTGCAAAGAAAAAATTTCTCCATGCAAACTGTCACGAAGAAATTTTCTTAGAGGACTTGGACTGGAGCTCCTAAGAGATCATTTACAGCAGAGGAAAAACGAAAGGCTTCTGCCCAGGGAACTATGTATAAAAATTGTGGAGCACACCGGTGAGCTCATGGTGGCCAGGCAGGCACAGCATCACAAAGAGAGGAAAAAGAGACAGAAAAACAAACCATACTATCAGTGAAGGCGATACCTGTGTAGGGCACATGCAGCGGTTACGTGTGAAGACTGCCTTGGGTGTGGCAGTTAAACCAAAGCTTACTTCTGTGGCAGAGTTCCATCGGTATTTTCATTGTAGTTCATAGAGGAATTCAATTCTCAAGTTATCTTTTAGATTTTGCATTCAGTACATATCTGATGTGAAAATGTTAATGTCGGGGCTGGGGATTTAGCTCAGCGGCATAAGCACCTGCCTTTGCAAGCAGGCGGTCGTGAGTTCAATCCCCGGTACCAATAAAAAGGAAAAAAGACCAAAAAAAAATTAAAAAAAAAAAAAAAAAAAAGAAAATGTTAATGTCTATTCTAAACACACAATACAAATTAAGAACTTAATACTTTATTTTATTGACAGTTTATGTACCTGTAAGCTACACACTGTATTATATAATAACAACTTCCTGACAAAACAGCCCTGAGATGTCAAGTATGTCCTACAAAAAGGCCAGGGAAGCAAAACACATGGGCTGTCAGTGTAAACTGTGTATGTATGGAATGTGCTGTTGTCATGTATGCAGTGCCTTAGTGTGATAAATAAAGATTTTTTTTGGTAGCATGCTATTGGTATTTTCATTGTAGTTCACATAAGAATTTGTATTATTTTTTTAGACCTAGTGCACAAAAAACAGCCAATGTTGAAAATTATGATGCTTTTCATAAACACTCAAGAACTATTCAACTTAATACTTTATTTTTGTAATACTTTTTTCCTACTAAGTACTCACTATTCAACATAAAACTCATAAAATTAGAATTAATAATCAATAGAAATACTCCTAAATCCTGGGATTACTGGCATCATACCTGAGTATCAAAATTAAAAATACTGTAATTAAATTAAATTAAAATAGCAATGTAGCTTGGTGCAAAGACCTTGGGTTCCATCCCCAGTACAGCAAAAAAAAAAAAAAAAAAAAAAAAACCAAAACAAGAGAAAAACCACCACAAAATATTGGAAGAAAACATAGGACAATGTCACGGTGGCTCTTTCTGATCAGTGAGCTCTTCTCAGTACTTCCTAATAGGGTCAGGGACTACGTCACTACTTCACTACTTGTTTCCATCTCTGGCTTTGGGGAGGTGGCCTCCCTGCACAGCCCAGGCTGGCCTAACCCTAACTTGGGCAGTCTACCCGCTGCTACCTCCCCCTCACTGACCACAACTGTCCATCAGCTCAGAGACAAATCTTTAAATCCAGGGCCTTTCTTTGGAAGGAGAAAACTCGAACATTAGTTATGCTGACATTCTGACCCTTCTGCTGGCAGTGACTGCCTTCCCTAGGAGTGCGCTAACTGGAGTCACAGCTGTTCACACAGGGCATCTATCCCATCCGTGCCCTCCTGAATGCAGTGACCTCTCAGCAGCACTCACCCAGTGCCTCCTGTGTGGTAGGTCACTACACGCACAATGGATGAACACGGAAGTCCTTGTTACAGGGACAGAAGGCTCCTGCCTTCGGACACGAGTCCCACGGGCAGTGCTGAGCCTGCCCTGTGAGAAGAGGAGCCACCGCACCCCTTCCATGCCTACACCCCTTGTCTCGACTCCTGAGGACAGTCCTGGCCTTCGGTACACACCCTTTCTCTACAGGTTCACTTTCAGTTGCCTGATTCCCCCTGCCACCTCTCCTCTGGCTGTTCGCTGCTTCTGTCCTCACCTTACCAACCTGCTGAGGTCCGGCACCCAGAAAAAGCCCTTGCTTCTCCCGGAGCTCCTTTCCCTTTTCTGTCTCCATGCTGCAGGGAGGACTCTAATCCCAAGTGCCCATTTCCCACTCACTGCCTTCCACATCGCCAGCTTGGAATCTGGTGTGTTTCTTCTCCACTCACAAACACTGTCACCACACTCCTGTCACGACCCAGTCAGTACCTCTGTTCCCTCAGCCAGGGAGTGGCTCTGTAACCCTGACACCACCATCCAGAAGCTGCTGATCCAGGAATCAGCCTGGGTCATACCCGCCCCTCCTCCTCCACTGCACAGGGCCAGGCCAACCTCAGCACCCCAACCCCCTCCACTTTCTCTACACCATCTCACCTTGGCCCTTCAAATGCCACATGGCTGAAGCTATTTATTTACTTTTTGGTGCCAGAAATCAAATTCAAGATCTCTCACTTGCCAGGCGGGCACTGCGCCCAGCCTGGCTGAAAGTTTTTAAAACCTGCTCTTTGACTACGACTGCTTGACTGTCCACTGAGGAATTCTACCTAGATGTCACCTGAGTACCACAGATGTGGGCTGTCTGTCTCTGGGGCTGCAAGTACAGTCCAGCATGTCCGAGGTCTCTAACATGACACACATACCTACCCACACACACCAAAAGGGAGTGGAATATAGTTCAGTGGCACAGTGCCTAGCATGCGTAAGGCCCTGGTTCAAGTCACAGTACTAAAAAAAGTTTTAAATAAACAGATGTGGGGTGCATATCTATAACCCCAGCGCTCTGGGAAGCCGAGGCAGGATGATTCCAACCTGGAATCCAACCTGGAATTTGAGACGCTATCTCAAATTCCTTTTTTCTTTCTTGGTTTTTTCAGACAGGAATTTGCAATGCAGTCTAGGCAGACCTTGAACTCATTATGTAGCCCAGCTGGCCACAAAATCGTGGTTCTAAGCCCTAAGTGTTGGAATTACAGGGATGTGCTGCCATGTATGGCTATCTCAAAACTGAAAGGTGGGGTAAAGGGTGTAAGTCCAAGAAAAGGACCTGGGTACAACCCCAAGTACCATACCACAAAAAGACAGAAATCTTAAATATGCCCAAGACTATTCTATCTTCCCCATCTGTTCAACTGTCCTATAACTCTCACTGTAGCTGCTAAAAAGGGAATCAGCACCCAACCTAGGTTACAAGTTAGGAACCTTGAAACTACCATGAGACAACTCCTTCCTTCTCTCCTACCCAAACCCTAAAGGGGCCAATTCTGCCTCACTGCAACTCAAAGCAAGCAGCAATTCTGCAAGTCCACATGGGACACGTCTCAAACCCAGCCGTGAGCTGAGCTCTCCCTGGTCTGTATTATTTATCACACCATAGCCAGCAGAAGGTACCTGTCCATTCTTACAAGAATTATGTTTGTGAAAGGAAATCCGATCTTGAGATCCCTGAACTCGGATAGCGCAAGTTGGCACAGAAGGAAACATCATCTGTGTAACTGACCATGTAACACTAACGTAGCCCACTGAGCCCTCTGAAGCACAGCTCTCGGTCTCCTCCCGCCACTCCTGGCCCGCCCTGCCCTGGACCTCACCACCTCACTAAATTCACCATTTCATGGCCACACTATGAACAGTTCAAAGTCAGCCTGAAGTATACCACGAGACCCAGTCTCAAAAACCAAACAGGGCCTCTGCCTGCCCTCAAGCATGGACCAATCTCAGCAGTGCAGCTGACATCCCCAGCAGAGCCATGGCCTCTCCCTGTGCTCTGCTCATCCGTGCCTGCTGTGATCAGGGCCCCAGACATCACTGGAGCTGCTACAACCCCACCCCATTGGCCCCCAGGCCTTCTACACATTCTGATCAAACGAAGAACTAAAAATGCAGGTCTGACACAAAAGGAGTTATACAGTAAGAAGAGATGGCATATACTCCTCCAGACCCAACCCTGTTTTCTATCCTCAGGCTTCAGAAGCACCCCACAACCCTAGGACTCTACAATCGATTGTCTTCCCAGGGTGACAAGGAGTGTCCAAGGCCTTACCTCGAGGGAAGATCCCTGGGTCCATGAAGGTAGCCATGCTGAAGTTGGCCAGCACAAAGAGAAACATGATGGCATTGTAGATGGGCACTGCAGGTGACACATACAGGCTCAGTCCTGGACACCTGCACAGAGAATACAGGCAGTGAAGGGTAGAAACCTTATACTAGGCCCAGTGCTGCCCACCTTAACCCCAGCATGCTGGGAAGCTGAGGCAGACAGGAGGATCAGAAGTTCAAGCCCAAACTATGCAAGTTAGGTAGGAACCCTGTCTTAAAATAAAAGGGGCTGGGGATGTAACTCGGAGTAAAGACTCTGGGTTCAGTCACCGGTTGTTACGGCCTGTGTCAAGATGTTCCCCAGAGCCACATGCAGCTACAGGTGGGGCTTTCCAGAGGTGGCTAGGGTGTGATGCTGGGATTGGGGCTGCCCTGCCCAGGTGTGAGCATTGTCTGCCCTACAGGTAGCCTGCATAGGACAGAAGGGGCAGAAGGGGAGCTGTTGTGGTCACTGCTTGCTGCTTGCTGCCTCCTGCCTCCCACCACAGACTGTTTCACCTATGTGATGCCACTCTGCCACGACATCCTACCTTGGAGCCAGCCGACTCTGGACTAAACCTCTCCAAACTAAGTTAAATAAACCTCTTTTAGCTCTGGGCGTCAGGTATTTTGCCTCAACAGTGAGAAATGTAAGACACTAGCACTGAAAAAAAGACAGACGTGGCCCTCACTGTTCTTGTAAATCTCATGTGGCTTACTTTGCTCCCCTGTTCTCACCTTCCACTCACCCTCCACGGCCTATCCAGGATTCAGGATGACCAGGGCTGACAGGCAGAGGCCTGCAAACCCCCCAACCCCACTGCAGGCCTGTGCTTTGCATTTGGCCGTGTGTCCTTATCTCCTCCTGGCCCTGAGTGAGAACAGGACTGGGGAGGTGAGTGCACCAGCTGCACTCCTCTGCCTAGCCTAGGGTGCCTAGCCCCTGGCCCAGGCCCACTGACCTGCCTGCACTGCCCATGGCTTCACAGGGCCCTCAACTGCCCCTGGTTTCCCCACTGTGTCAGGTGTCTCCAGGTCTTACTCAACTGCAAGATTACTCTCAAGTTGGGAAATTTAAAGAACGCAGGCAAGGGTGACTATCCAGTTCCCACTCCCATGACACTGGAGCACAGGAAGGGGACAAAAACAGATTCGAAGCCCCACGAGGCCCACAAGCAAAGGGACCCACTGAACATCTCCAAGGTCCACTGCATTCGAATCAAGCCACCTCTACTTTGATTAGGAAAAAGCACACCCTCACCCAGTTAGGCCAGGACACTCGGCTGCCCATGCAGTTTTCTTGGAGCCCAAGTGGTAGAACTGCCTATGGGAGTGGGGTTCAGGAGCAGCCAATGCCCCTTCTCCGGCCTTGCAAAGAACTTCCCACTCCAAGATGGGGCAAATGCCCTAATCTGCTTACAGCTGAGAACTTAATCTCCAGATTCAGGGCAGCATCTGGCCTTGGGCGCTGGGTCTGGACCAGCCGGAAGAAAGATGGAGAAGCTTGGCATGCCCCAATTGCACCCTGGTCCGAGTTAGACAGTGATCTGCCCCTCGGGCCGAAAGCAGAACCAGGCACACAGAGTCAGGGAGCTTTGGAGGCCCTGAGCTCCCTAATGAAACACTAATGAACCAAAAATCAGGGAGCAGAGACAGAATGTCACAGAGCACTGCTGCTCTTCATTGCCACTGTTACCAAATCCCAGGCCACATTCATTCAAAACCATCTTGAGGCTTAAGGCTTTGATTTTCCTGATACATGTTGTATCAGGAGACAGAACGGTAAAGCTGGAGCCAGGCCTCATCTAACAGAAAGCACAGTGCCAGATGGTCCTACCCTTGTGTCACCAGTTCGCATCCCAAGGAGTCCACCTCTCTGATTTCTTTGGTCCCAGAGCAACTCCCTGACCCAAGGCAGGTTTGGGATGGACACACCAGTCCCTGACCTCCCAAACCCCTCTAGGGAGGGAGAGAGAGAAACTGGAAACCAGTCATCCAAGTCAGAGCCCCGCCCTTACGCTCAGGGTCCTTGGGCTTCCACCTGGGGAAGAGGAGAAAGGGTGACTCACTTCCCACCCACAGCCTAGGAAGATAACTGGAAGGAAAATAAACTGAATCCTTGGAGCACAGAGCTGCCTGTGACTTCAAATTCCTAGAACTGACCACCAGGACTAGCCGAAACGAGCAGGGGAACCTTCCGGCCCAGAGCAAAACTGAAGCGGCCAAGAACGAGGTGTCAGCCCACTGGAACCCCAGCACAGATCTCCGGTCCCACTAGTCCTGCAGTTTTGTCTCCAAACACAGTAACTCGCCCCGAGCTTGGGTGCACTGCCAGCCCTAATGAGGAAGCCAACCCAAAGGGCTCTCTAGCCCAGCTCATCCCAGCTCAAGCGTGTGATCCTGGAACCCAGTTCCAATAGCTGCTGCCAAAATAAAGCCTGCCTCCCTTGTGGCAGGATCTACAAGTGACAGGGTGACTCAAGCTCTTTAGTGGCATCTTCTACCCCTAGCACTTGGCAGGGACCGCGTACTGCCCTGGGCCCGAGCCAGCAGAGCCTCTTTGGGCCGAAGTCCCCACTAGCTGCCCCTGCGCTCTGATGCATGGAGTTGACTGTGAGTCTGCTGCCTTGAGGCAGGGGGGGCGCGATCCTGGGCAAGGAGAGGAGCTGCTGGGACCTGTCCTCAGCCTCGGGTAAGCACAGGGCACAGGGATTGGCCAGCCAGGAAGGCAGGCTGAGTCACCCAAAGGCTCCCAGGCCAAACCGTCCAGACAGAACAGGGTTTTCTGTCCACCCACTCAGCACTGGGCCCCCTTGGCCAGAGGCAATCTTCGAGGGGCTCCAATAGCCCCTCAACACTTCCCAAGTGAAAACAAGAAGGTTCCTAGAAAGAAAGGCAAAACAAGACAGGAGGCACTACGGCTGTTAATCCCACCTCAGATAACGCTTCACTTGCAGCCGTGCATAACCCACACACATCCTCATGCTTGCTACTTCCAAAACACAAGACAAACTGGAGAGCGAAGGAAGATGCCTGAAAAGACTCTGCATGTCTCAGGCCAGCTGGCTGAGGGCTGCAGACACAGGGATCACCAATCATCACCAGTGCCTGCAGTTGCTACTGCCCCCCTAACTCCACCTCCCTGGCCTCGGTGCCAGGGGTTCAGGGGCGCTGAGACACAGGCCAGCACCAGAGGCCAGGACTGCAAAGGAGGCTCACTTCCTGCCCTGTGTGACCCTCATCTAGAAGGGCTCCATCAAGACTCTGTCACAGTGATGGGAATTTTGTGGAGTTCTTGATGATGCACACAGACCACCAGCTCGCCACCACTGCTGTGAAAAAACACCCTCTCCTCACGCGGGAAGCGTTGCCTTGAGGCCAGGCACTGTGGTGCTCACCTATAACCCCAGTACTCAGAGCAGAACAGTCACAAATTAGAACCAGCTGGACAAGACCTTGCCTCAGAAAAAAGCCAAGCAGGTGCAGGCCTACACCAGGATTTGAAAGGCTGAGGCAGGATGATTGTGAGCCTGCACTACATAGTGAGATGCAATCTGAAAAAACTGAACCAAAAACCAGGCAACAATACCCCTACCCCAGAGACAACTTGCTCTGTGCTTCTATAATCTAGGCTTTCCAGAAACTGAGTGCCCCAGGCAAGGCCTGGGCACTTACTCCTGGATATAAACACCAAGCAGAGAGAAAACAGCAGTTACAGCCACTGCCCAAGAGGGGAGCCTATGTCCTGAGCCACACCCACCAGGATTAGGCACTAGAACCTCTGCTATTAGGGAGACTCTGATTGCCAAGCCCTGTAGGTAAGAGGGCCAGAAGGAGCCAAAGACAGAAACTGAAAGCTAGGGCACCTGGATGAGGTCCTTGGAAAGGCGCTCAGGCTTCTGGCCCAGCCTGATCTCTAGCCTCCGGGTTCACCCAAGGCACACCCTTCCCTCACAGCTGGAGGACAAACATGGTTGGGAAAGATGTCACCCGTAGCAGGAGAAGACGCCGCAGGAGCAGCTCAGTGACTTCGAGGGGGCTGCCAGGAGCCCTAAAACTTCAAGGGACCCCCAAAGACACACTGAACGGCCGGTTCCCCCACTGGCTTCCTACTGGGAGAGGAAGCACCCCAGGCCACAAGGGTGAACAGACCCCTGACACCCACACAAACCCACTCCCTCAGCACTGCCACTGCCAGCACCAGCAGTCACCTGAATGCTGCAAGAGGACAGCCGCGGCCAAGCTGAGCCTCCTCTCCCCTGCTCTCCTTTCCCCTTCTGGGCAGAATCCCAGCACCCCAAAGAGGAGAAAGGAAGTGAGTAAGGGCAGCACCCCTAGCTCCTGCTTGGTTTTGGCCCTGGACAAACTCTGGGAAGAGCAGGGCACAGGTAGCTCTGGGGGAGGCTTCTACTGCTCTGTCCAAACTTCACTGAGCAGAAGAAAAGCCTAGCTTCTCTGGTGACCAAGCCCAGTGCTAACTTCCACTCAGGGCCTTCCGCATGTAACAAAGGAGCATGGAGGGTAGCTGTTCCTACTTAGCTGACACTTGCCTCTCTCGCCAGTCATGTCTACCACTAAGGCACCCTTCCTCCTGTTCCCTGACCTCCAGGTCCCACCTCAGCCCACCCTTGGGCGAGAACAGTAGGGTGACAGAGGGCAGACCTCAGGCCTCTCACCTGATACAGCATTGCCTTCGAAGGCTGTCTCCAGTCTTCACCAAGGGGCTCTATAAGGACTTGGACCTCAAGCGGGGTAGAACCCACAGAGCAGCAGTGCTGGAGAATAACAGCGCCTTGGCCCAGACATGTGCTTCGAGAGCCACGACAACCCAGCAGAAAGAGGAGCCATAGCATGGAGGGAGAGAGGACAAGTAGGGCATTTGTGCCTCGGTGGGGTGGGCAGGGAGGAAAGGCAGCCGGAAAGTATGCCAGTGAGAACTTCATCCAAAACCCAAGGCTCCGCTGACTGTGGATCAGAGGACCCGCTCTAAACAAGTCAGTGCCAGGCATGGTGGCCAGTTCAAGGGCAGCCTGGACTGACAGTAAGTCCCAAGCCAACCTGAACTATACAGCAAGACTCTATCCCAAAATAAAGTAAACTGAGTCAGTAACTTCCTCCAAACCAAGATGTATGTAATTACGTATTACGTGTTGCAAACACAGCATAGTAAAAAAAACATCTCCAAGATCTTTTTCCCTGGGGCTAGGAGACCACAGAAGGGAGGAGGGCCCCTATTTTGCTGGCACCAGAGAATGAGAAAAGTAGGTTAAGCAGCTTCAACTATCAGTTGAGAAGATGCCTCCATCCGTACAGTGCTGTGGGCAAACTGGTAGAACCAGCCAGGCCCTGCAATGGTTTCAGATCGGCAAGCTAAGAACAAGGACTCCACGCCCTGAAGGACAGCCGCCACTCACGCCCAACTCCCCAGGCTTTGCCCAAGCCTCTGCCTCTTGAGGCCAGCAGAGCCACCCAGTGGAAGCAGCCAAGGTGTGGCAGATCCAGGTTAGCCACCTGGTCCAGCCCCACACTGCACAAGGGCACCAAGACACCTAACAGTGCCTGTTGGTCTAGAGTCTGACTATGCTTCCTGGTCATGACAGTAAAAGCAGAAACAAGTCCTGACACGGAGCTCACACCTTTCTCCTGGTAGTCCATGCACAGAGGAGAACAGGACGCTGAACACACTGCAAAAGATAATGAAGCAAACAGAAGCCAGACAGAAGAGCAGGGCTGCCTCTAATCCCTGAGGCACCTGGTGAGAATGGGCAGGACCCAGACCCGGGCCAAAACACCCACAACTTCAGCACTTTGGGAGGAACAGGCTGATGCCAGGCACCAGGGAAGGATTTGCTTTCCCATTTCAAAACCAGAGAAAAACTGAGTGCAGTGGTGCTTGCCTATAATCCCAGCACTTAGGAGGCTGAGGCAGGAGGATCACTGTGAGTTTAAGATCAGTTTGGGCTACAAAGTGAGTTTAAGGCCAATCTTAAATGCATAATGAGATTCTGTCTCAAAAAGACAAAAAATAAGAAAAACCCGGAGAGGACACCAGCAACTCCCTCTTCCTTCTACCCACTGGACCAACTATCTCGGAGCTGTCCACACCACTGAGTCTTGCCTCACCGAGTCCAAACTCTGTCACTGCCTGGTCACTTCAGTCTCTCCCTTTTCCCAGCAACCTGGAGCAGCTCAACAGCACCTCATCATTAGGTTGGAGCTGGAACCACACCACACTGAACTTTCCAGAAAAGCCAGCATGTTCTGATCCCTCGGAAAGCTGCAGCTAGAGTGCTAACTCGGTGACTCAACAGATTAAAGCTTGAAGGGCCTGCACAGGTCCACTGCCACATTGTAAGCAGCAACAAGCTGACAGAGCCAAGTCTGGAGGCCCCAGCTAGGAACCATTGCAGGCCCTTGAACCTAAGCAGGACCTCCTCCCAGGCCTCCTGCCTTTCCCAAACTAAACAAGGAATGGGAACTACTCTCCCCTCCACAGGAACCAACCCAGGGTACACGTCCCATACCAGGCACGGGGCCTTTCCCAGATGACTTCACCTCTCCAGGAGGCCTCAGCACTTACAGAGAAGAGATATGGGGCACACCTAAAATTCCCACAGCCTGGGAGGCTGAGATAGGAGAAGCACAGGTCCAAGCCCAGTGTGGGTAATTACAATGACTTAGCAAAACCCTGTCTCAAAATTCACAAATTAAAGAGGGGTTGTGGCCATAAGTAAGTATAAAGGCCATAAGCTAAGTATAAAGGCCCTGGGTTCAATCACCAGTATAGAAAAAAAGGAAAACAAAGAAGATCCCCTGGCAGCCCTGAGCCATGCCAGCTGGTGGGTGCATGCGCCTTATACACTCTCTGAGACCATCCAGCACTCCTTCATGACCTTGGCCAAGGCTCCAGACATCCGGGGAAAACCCATTGCAACAGGGGAAGATTTTCGTCTCCTCCTCCCCAAGAACTGGCTCCTTCAACCAGCACAAAGTCTCTCCAGTGGCTTCCTCCCACCTCTTTCACCCACCTAATGAGGGTGTGGGGACTCAACACTGCAAACAGGGAGCCAGGAAGCAGAGCCTCAGGAACCAGGGAGTACAGAGGCCGGAAGTGAGGCTTCTGCTCTCCACACACCTCTCTGTATGCCAAGTGCCAGGTCACTCACTCCGGAGGCTCCAGAACCTGGGACAGTGCCCTGTCCACCTCCCAGGGTCTCTCGTCCCTAGGAAACTTACGTAAAGGCGAAGAAGAGAGTGGTGGCGCCCACTAAGAAGACGGCAGCTGCGGAGACTGGGACGTACTTGCTGGGTTTGAACCTCTTTCCAGACTCTGAGGGCATGGTGGAGCTGTGAAGGGAGAGCTGCCCTGCCGCATAGCCCAGGCACGCGCGGCGGCAGGACAGACAGGAAACAGGGCACGGGGTGGCAGAGAGGGCGCCAACCCAGAAAGCCCGGAGACACCAAAGTAGCACCCTCCCCTCCCGGGAACACTGCGGTCCGAGGTCCCGGAGCGGGGAAAGTACACACACGCACGGGAGGGCAAAGGCGGCTGCAGAGCTGCGTGGTTCCCAGGAGTAAGGCTGAGGGGCAGGTCAGATCCAGGTGGTCGGAAGCTCAGGCTGGGAATGCAGGCTGTGTTCACGCAGCGAGGCACAGGTGGCCGAGATGGAAGGTCAAGTACACAAGGACCAGTGCATGGACAAGGCTGGGCTTCAGGAGAAAAGGGTGTCAGCTCCGCACACAATCTACAGCAGACCCAGTGGGAACTCCTCAGCCAGGGCACCTACAGCTGCGCCCACCTTGAAACTCAAGGCGAAGCCAGGGCACCCAAGGCGTTCAGGAGGAACTCGTTTGACTTCAGCCCTTGTCTCGGCTGGGCAGGCTTCCTGTGGCCGCTGCTCCCACACCTTGACTTTACCAGGGCTGCCGTCTGGCAACAGGGCCTTAATTTTATTTATTTCTCTCCTGATGGCCAATGCTAGACAACAGCTGTTCCAGGGCTGAGTTGTAAATCCTTTTCTTTGAAGGGGGAGGACAAACAGTGAGCCCAGCCGTCTTCAGACTCTTCCTGCTATTCCTGATCCTTTCAAGGGCTCTGTTTCCCACAGAGTTCACGCAAAACTAAAGGGAAACTTAAAATCCGTGAAGCCATGCTCTGCCCAGTGAGCAGACAGATGAGGAACAGCTCCCACTTGATGAGATTGTAACAGGGCACTGTGGGTAAAGGTCGAGCTCCAAAGATGTCCCAGTCTCCAGGTTTCTCGGTGTCTCTGATCTTCCTCTTCGCAGATGCAGAGCTGTGCGGGGTTACGGTGCCTTACCTGGAGAAAAACAAGGTGTTTACCAAAAAAAGTCTTCCGGGCATTTCTAAACAACACCAAGGCCCAACCCCACAGGCTACTCGCTTAAGAAGTTCCTTCTAGGGCTGGGAATTTAGCTCAGCGGCATAAACACCTGCCTTGCAAGCAGGCGGTTGTGAGTTCGATCCCCGGTACCGATTAAAAAAAAAAAAAAAAAAAAAAAAGAAGTTCCTTCAGAAACAAAATGATTTTCCTCTTCCTTCTGCCCACCTGAGAAAGGATAGAGGAGAGCAAGGGTTTACCTGGCCTAAGGTCATCAAAGGACTGGTTCTCCCAAGGGGCCTGTCTTACCTGTGACAAATACCATGAATACAAAAAGCAAAACATAAAGCCAAGCAAGAACACAGTGTGAGGGCTTGAGGGGCAGTCCTGGAACAGAGATCTCTCCTTCATGAAAAAACTATTTATTGCTACAACGAAAACTGTAACATTAAAATTAGGGCAGCAAATCTCATTTTCTTTCTGTATGTGTTTCTTACCCCTTTATGCTTTTCAGTTATATCCATGAAGAGACAGAAGCCAAATTTCAGGCCTTCCAGAATCACCTACTAAAGGAGCTAGGTGAGACACACTCTTGGGTTAAAGGTAAAAGGCCCTCTAAGAGGAACTGGATTCACCATGGGAACTGGTCTTTTTCTACCCAATTCAACAGCTGTTTATTCCTCCACTGGCCTACTAGGAAATAAATTAAGCCCCACCTAACTCAGTATGATTAAAAGTAACAATTGCTCCTGTTGATGACTGTAGCAAAATAATACCAGCAACTTGATTTTATAAGGTGCTTTCCATCTAAGGATCTCAAAGCACTCTACCCCCATTATCTGGTGACACAGTCCCTTATCCTACTGGTAGAACTGAAGACTGAAGAGCCTGAGGCCACCTCTGACTCACCTGAACGGCAGTTAGGCCGGTCCCCAGCCCTGTGCTGACAAACCCTGCCTGCCTCCTTCCCATCCACCTTACTACACGCCTGAAGAGAAAAACCTGGACCTGCAGACCAGACATTTTATTCCAGGTAGGACTTTATCAGACAGCAAGAGTTTCATTTCCCTTAGCAGTTTACTACTTAAAACCAAAGGCAGGATTAAACGTATCAGAGGCTTTGGCTAGTAAAATATAAATGAACTCTAGAATTCACGGAAGGCCCAGGCGCCCACCTTCCAGATCCACTCCCCTACCCTTAACAGCAGGGTTCAGAAGGCCAACCACCACCTGGAGTACAATAAAGTCCCCCGAGACAGGAAAAATTACTACAGTGCTAAAACACACATGACCTCTCTAGTACCTGCTTTCAGGATTACTTAATCCTCAATTTCCCAAACGAACAAAGCCCAGCCTCCTGAATTTAAGGCCTTAAGTAACTTTGTTAACAAAAAACAGCAAAGTCTTGGGTAGTATACCTACTATTAAAACAAAGGTTTTCCTATCTGAGCTAGAGTATCATTTAGACACCATACATTATTTTAATTCTATTTCTACAAGAAAAGCTACACACGGTTAAATATTGGTATAGTAATGTAGGGTCAGGAAAAGCTCAGCAGTTTTGGGAGTATGCTCCTGAGATATAAACATTTTGAGAATCTGTGATGGCTGAGGGATACAGAAAATCTATGAACCTACTGGATATAAATACACAAGTCTTAGCACAAGGCTGTGCTGCAGACAGCAGATCCTGAAACTGCTTTTAATAACTTCTAAGATTTTAAGAGTGCACACACCTGTAATCCCAACACTGGGAGGCTTACTCAGGACTGCCACAAGTTCGAGGCAAGTGTGGGCCACTTACTGAGTTCCATACTAGCCTGAACTACAAAGCGAAAGTCTGTCTCAGGAAAAAAAAAAAGGCAGAGCTCCAAAGATCTCCCTGTCCACAGGTTTCTCAGTATCTCTGAACTTTCTTGATTGAAGGCTTCTAACAAGGTTTAACATGAGTACTTCCTTAAATAATCGAATGTACAGGCGCAGTATCACTGACAGCACAACTGCTGGCTTGCTGAAATCAATTAGCATAATACTACAATACAGTAACTCTGCATACACATAATTCGAGAGGCCATGCAACAAGCTACAGCTAGGTATCACAGTCAGACATAAGCTTAATTCGAGTACTATCATTATAGACCTAGGCAGCAAAGTGTATACAGCAAAATAAGTCATATAAACTGCTTTTATAGAATGTGGGAAAATAAAGCAATTTTGATACAGTTCAGAGGCGTACTAGGACACAAAGATGGGGACGCAAATGTAGGAATACCCTGGACAAGGCGGCATTAACCAGGAAGTGAAAATCCAAAGCAGAAAAATGGCCTCAGCCATAACATATATAGGATCCTAGAACTGCTTTTAATAACTTCTAAGTCACTTCCTCACTTCTCATCTCGGCCAAAGGGGCCAACGCTTTCAGCCCCTGCCCCCAAAAAGGATTCCTACATGTGAAACGCGGCCACCACCGTGGAGCCCAGCCTGTGAAAGTGCAAAGTACTCGGGCAGAGCCCCGGGCCCGACGCCGGGACCGGATAATAGGATGGAGCCCGAGCCAGGTACGGACCGGTCCGGCGGAGAGGGACAACCCGCGGGCGGGACTCAGGGATCTGGGGTAGCGGGGGCCAGGAGGGGACAACGCCGCGGGGCGCGGGCCGGGGGCGACAGGGCGGCGGCCAGTGCCCAGCACGGGGTCTAGGTCAGGCCCAGCGGGAGCCGCTCGGGCTGGCGGCCGCGGACTACGCCTCGACCCGCCGTCCGCCTGTCCGCCTCGGGCCCGCAAGAAGGACCGGGCCCCCGACCCCCTGCCGCGGTCCCCCTTCCCTAGAGGTCACTCTCCCCCTCCTACCTCCCCGGCCCGCACTTCCGGTTCCGCAGGGGCCGGCGTCCCCGGGACTTACCCGCGGCGCGGCGCCCGTCACCGCCGCCTTCGTTGTCACCGCCGCTTCCCGGCAGTGCCGTCCGGCCGCTAAGAGAAGAGGCAGCGCGCGGCCCCCGCACGCTCCACGCCCGCCCCGCTCCTGAGCGTTCCCGCGCGCGACACTCGCCTTCGTGCAGGCGCGCGGCCGCAACCCTCAGTGCCAGGGCTCGAGTCCTCCCGGCGTTTCCATTGGCTCCCCAGCCCGGGCGCGCGCGGCGTCTCTCGCGGAGCACGTTCCTCTCATTCATGAGGCTCGCGCCGCCGCGCCCGCCTCCGTTCACTCTCTCATTCACCCACAGCCCCCACCTTCACGCCGCTCTCGTGCGTGCGCGGGAACGCCGGCGACCGCGGCGACCTCGCATTGTGATTGGCTGCAGGGGAGCACGGCATCTTAGCACGCAGGGCGGCGGGAGCGCGCCCGCAGGGCCGCCGAGTTCCGCGGACGACTGGGCGAAGAAGGCTGGCCAACTGCGCAAAATATCGGGAATGGGGAAATAATGGAACGAGTCCTCCCTTTTCCTGCGTCCTACTTTGCACTCTTTCAGTATCCAAGCAGAAACTTTAAAGTTTAAAAAAGTGTTCATGTGTACTCGAACTACTCCAAAACAAGGGCCACTCTTAGATTCGCCAGATAGCCCCCCCAAATAAAGTGGTACGGTCCAGACTGGCTTCTAGCATAGCCAATTACGGACGGACCGCTGCGTCTTCCTGCCACGCCCCTTCAAGCATTGGCCAACCGCGTGGAGGATAAGGAAGCCGCCCTCCACCCCCACTTTTTTTTTTTTTTTTGATGGCGGAAACTTTATTTAAAACACCTTGCTGAATTAGTCCGGTTGGCAAATCCCGGGTTTCATCCTGATCTCTGGATGTAGAACGCTTTGAGCTGCGGCTCGGACTTGGAAGGCGACCAGACTGGGAGGCCAGAGGGGCAGGAGTGGGGAGCCGGGCAGGAGGGACACAGGGCAGGCGGCGGGCCGTACCGGTCTGAGAGCCCTGCGCCGCCTTCCCGGCCGCACAGCCGGGCTCTCCAGAATAGCTCCGGTCTCTGATGAGCTGCTGGCCGAGTCCCCGAAGATCGCAGCGCGGCGCTTTGCCCTAATTAGCCCGGGACGGCGACTAAGCCCACGGCGATGCCACATGGGCCCTCCTCGCGCGGCTCGGGCCGCTTCCCGTCCGACAGCATCGCTGGCGGTTATGTAATAGACCTGGGAAAGGAAGGGCTCTACCTCCGTCCTGCTAGCGCGCTCGGCCTGATTTCCCGGGTCGGGCCTGGGGACGAAGGTGTGACTGTGGTCCTGACACCTTAGCATCAGGCAGCCAGAGGACGGAGGCGTCCGCCCTGTTTCCTGGGGTCCTGCCAACTTTCTTCTCTGACGTCGCATTTAGTATGAATTCTAATTCATTCTTGTTTTGGTTTTGGTTTTTTGAGAAAGGGCCTTGATGTGTAGCTCAAACTGGCCAGCAACTGATGTTGATCGTCATGCTTCAGCCTCCATTCTGGAATTACAGGAATGCATCACCATGTCTGACTTAGTTCTAATTCATTCTTGCTATGGACTTCAACCCAGTGTGTATTGCAACATAGTTGAGTTTTTGTTAGTATTTTTAAAAACTTTTAGATAGTAGAAAAGATAAACTTAAGTAGTGCTGGAAGTAGAAATGTTTACATCGTGTGTCTTTGACCTCTAAATCTTTCCCTAAAATAAAATCGAATTTCAGTTTTTTGTTAGATATGAAGCTTTTTCATTTCCTCCACTTCATGCCTGCACTTCAGGCATTTTTATTTTTCCACTTCGGCTGAGAACCTATAGGCTTCGTGATGTCTGTTGGTGAGAGGGGCTCAGGGAAAAAGACCGATGGCCCCCCATCTTTCACTGTCCACCCCTGGGCTCCGGCAGCAGCAGTAGGCTCCGGAACTGTCCCAGCTCTTTTTCACCGAGGCATAATTACTATTTCAACATTTAGAGTCGGTTTTCTTATCCAGTTTTCCATCGGATCAGGCAAAGTGTATCTTGGAACGGATTTTGGACAGAACATAAGGTTTAAACTGCTAGTCACTTCTAAGTAGTAGTTTAGAGTAAAATCTAGCCTAAAACAAAAAATAAGCAGATCATGGTGCTAAAAATTTTATTTTGATATGTCTATGAATACTTGTAATTATCTAATGTTTTCATCTGTTTTGTTTCTTGGAGACAGAGTCGCACTATACAGCCCAGGCTGGCCTTCAATGCATGCCTCAACCTCCCTCAGCCTTTGGAGTGCTAGGATCACAGGCATGTGCCACCATTCCCTTTGTTTTTGAGACAAGGTCTTCACGTGTAGTGAAGGGTGGCCCTGAACTGGTTACCTTCCTGTCTCAGGCTCCCAAGCACTGGGAGCACAGGCCTCTGCAGCCACATCTGGCTGGCTGTTTTTTTCAAATCTCTCACTTGCATTTTCCTGTGCCTATGCATTACACACTACAGGATCACTTTTAGTTCAACCCAACAATCAGAGAGAAATGAATGTTCTTGTCTGCCCTAAACCACCAATGAATTTATTTACTCATTCACTTCTCTTTTTTTGTCTTTTTGAGACAGGGTGTCACGATGCAGTTCAGGCTGGCCTTGAGCTCACTTTGTAGGTTTGGTTTTGTAGGTTTGAAACCATCCACTAGGATGGCCCTAGGCTCACTTTGTAGCCCAGGCTGGTCTCGAATTTGGATAGTTTCAAACTCAAAACAATCCTCCTGCCTCAGCCTCCCAAGTGCTGGGATTACAGGTTGTGCACCACCACACCCAGCTTTCATTCAGTCCTTTAAGGCCTTTTTGTGTTTCCTCTTCTCTCCTGTCCTCATGTTTAAATTTTTATTGCTACATACTTGTAATACGTGATGGTCCCATTCATCATGGGAGCCGTTGGTACCTGCACTCTCCTGTCTTTGTCACATGGGCTGTTGGGAGCTGGAAGGTGGGGTCTCTGCCTATGTTACACCATGGTCTTTCCTTTATGCACTGGATCCCATCCTCCTGCATTTTCTCCCTTTAGACATTTGAAAAATTTAAAGCATATACACAAGAATGCACACACACAACGTTAATTCCTCTCCATCTAGACTCCGAGAAAGATCACTCTGTCTAACTCCTACCACACCATACTCTTTTCCTTAGTAAAGCATTTTTGGTGGGCAGGGGCTGTCTTGCTACGTAGCCCAGGTTGGCCTAAATCTCATGGTGAGCCTCCTGCCTCAGCCTCCAGAGTGCTGGGATTACAGGAATGAGTAATCACACCCAGTTAATACTGTTGAAGAGATTTGCTAGGCATGGTGGCACACTCCTGTAATCCCAGTACTTGAGAGGCTGAAGCAGGAGGATCGCTGCAAATTCGAGACCAGCCTGGGCTACAAAGTGAGCCTAGGGCCAGCCTGAACTGCATAGCAAGACCTGGTCTCAAAAAAAAAGGCAAAAAGTTCACCTATATAAATAAGATTTACCTATAGTTATACTTACTTCCTAAATCAGTATCATCTCTTCAGTCTGTTTCAGTAGAGCTTCCATCCCCATCATTCCAAGGTTAGGCTACATTTTTTTTTTTTTTTTTTGGTCTTTTTTTAAAAACTGCTCTCTTTTTGGGGTACCAGGAATTGAACTCAGGGCTTCAGGCTTGCCAAGCAGGGGCTACACAGCTGAGCTACATCCCCAGCCCGAGGCTACATTCTTCAAGTGAGCACTGAAACACATCATTGCTTGGAGAGCGGAGCCTGGGTGACTCCGTGGCCTAGCTCACCTCATGCTTGACCCTCCCCTGGCCCCCGGCTGGGAGCAAGCTTAGGGCAGTGCATGCTGGGAAGGGCTCTCTTGCTCCCAGCAGGTCCCAACCACCTGCCTGACCACTCCTTCCAACCTCTGCTTCTTCCTGGTTTCCATTTCCACAGTCCAAACCCCTCCACAGGCCAGGGGCTCTGTACTTTTCAATCCAAGCCATCTGTTCCATCCCAATGGGAATGACTCACAGACAACTAGAACTTGCAGCATGTTGGGACATTCCTGGTAGTCCCTGTTTTTCCTCCCCAGTCACAACCAATCTAGTTGCTAAAATTAAAACTAGACCCTTGGTTCCTTTAAAAAAAAAAAAAAAAAAACCTGGATTCCTTTCTCTTTAGTCACTTTTCGGCAAGTCCTACCCATTTTACTTTCTAAATATTCTAATGAGAGCATGGTGGGGCACACCTACCAGTATAACCCCAGTACTCCAAAGGCTGCGGCAGGAAGATCATGAGTTCAAGGCCAGCCTGGGTACCCGGTAAGACCCCTGTCCCTAAAATCCAAAATAGCCCAAGCTTGACAGCAACTCTCACCATTCTACAGGCTGCTGTCATCCAGTCCCCCGCAGTTCTCACCTGGACTCCAACACGGCAGTCTTCTCACCTGTCCCCTCTCTGCTGCACTGCTGCTCCCAGCCGCCCCCACAGCAGCGAGCTCTTCAAAGTGTAAAGTAGGTCACTTCGTTCCTCTGCCTGACACTGCTCCGAGGACCAAATCCACCCTTCACCCAGATTTATAAAAAACCCCACCCTCTTGCTGTTACTAGACTTTGAACCCAAGGCTTTAACACTGAGCTACATCCCCAGCCCTTTTTATGTTTCCCTGGGAGACAAGATCCTGCACATAGCTAAATGTCCAGGCTGGGCTCCAACTTGTAATCCTCTTGCCTCAGTCTCCAAGTGCTGGGACTGCTGGTAGTGCCACCACACCCCAGCTGCATCTCTGCCACTTTCCTCTCTTACTAAATCATCACACTCTTCTGAGGGCCTCGCATCATCTCTTCCTCAGTAGTTTTGCAGCAGTTATCACTTTGCCTTCCTGGTCTGCCAGCTGGATGTTGTAGCACAGGCCTGACCCTGCCACTGTGTGAGGCTGAGGCCTTGGTCGTAGGTTCAAGCTCAGCCTGTGCAATTTTGCGACTCAGAGACCCTGCCTCAAAATAAAAAGGGCCAGTGGTGGCGCTGTCTTCAGTCCCTAGAACCAGAGAAAATCAGGAAGGGTCTTTACTGACCAGGCAGGCTCACGCAGCCTCCTGGCTCCTATCCCCAGTCAAGTCCCTGCCCAGCATCTGCCTTGTTAAATCGGTCTGATCTTCATGGCAAGGCACATACAGCTTTGCCTCTCCTCACTGAGGATGGCTCCTGACAAGGAGTGGCACGGTGTGCATGCTGAATCCCAGTACCACAAAAAATAAGTTTCCTAAGGAAGCATGGCTGAATGGTGTCAGATATTTATTTTCCAAGTCCAAAGCGGATATTTCAAGTCACCTGCAAGACAGCGAAAATGGGCTGTCACAGTCTCTTCCCACCTCAAAGGCCAAGCAGTACTCTGACTTAGGACCTGGTTCCAAACACACAGATGACACGAAGGTAACTGCAAAAGAGACAATGAACCATTTCTAGGAAACGAGATCTGAGATCTCATCCAAAGATTATCAGCAGCCTTAACTCCTCAGAGTAATCAGCACTGACAACAGATCTACCATTTACCTATCTATGGAAGAATGGGAAATCAGCCTGCGGTGCAGAGCCTGCAATCCCAGCACTAAGAAGGACGAGGAAGGAGGATCTCCACAAGTCTAAGGTCACTCTGCTACATAGCTCAACAGAACCCAAACAAAGGAATCAAGGTGTGGCAGTGCAGGCCTGCACTTGGGAGGCTAAGGTAGGAGGATCACAGTGAGTCTGAGGCCAGCCTGAGCTAAAAAAAATCAAAAACACAAAGAGGACAGTGGAGAGGAAATCATAAACCCTACTTGGCTCATAGGTAGGTTCTCAATTTACTCCTTCTCTAAACATTTGATCAATAAATTACTCCAGGGCCGGGATTTAGCTCAGTGGTGTAAGTGCCTGCCTAGCAAGCTCGAGGTCATGAGTTCAACCCCCAATACAAAAATAAATAAATCACTCAAATAACATTTGTGCAACTCTGAGAAAAATTATTTTTTAATCACATTTCCATGATATAGCAAACATAGTAAAATAATTTTTAAATTTGGTTTATTGAAAAGAATCTGTCCAATTTACACTCTTATCCTAAATAAGAAAGACAGTCAGTTGTATATACTGCTATGAAGTGGTAATCAAAAATAGTCCACACAGAAGCACCTAAGCAAGATGAAATTCTCTGAGGTCTTAAGAGTTTCAAATGGCATCTTGGGTGATCTCAAAAAGGCAGGCACGTTTTCTCAGCCCTGCTTTTTTTGTTTGTTTTTTAGATTTTTTTTGTTTTATTTTTTGGTGCTAAGGACTGAACCTAGGGGCTTCCAGCTTGCTAGACAGGCATTGTACCACTGAGCTAAATCCCCAGCCCCACAGTCCCAATTTTGGCTCCATGTTGGAAGAGTCTGGAGGGAGAAAACACACTTCCTTGGCACTGCTTCTGGGGCAGTCGACCTCGCACCTCCTCGTACCCCATCTGGCCCTGGTGACAGCCGGAAGGTGAGCCCACCCTGCATAGAGCAAGGTTTGCTGCCTCCCTCTATTTGAGATCCATGAACCGGATGTCCATGATGAGCAGGAAGTTCTTGGGCAGTGGCCGAGGTGCCGGAGAGAGCACGGTGAACACCTGGTGCTCCAGGTCCACGCTGGTCACCACAATGAAGCCGGCCACACTGGTCTCCGAGAGGTTCTCCTCTGTGCCCTCGGCTGTACTCACACTCAGCAGGTGGTGCACCATGTCCCTGCCCGGGGTGACAGGCACCAGTTTGAGCTGGTTGTCCTCTTGCGACATGCCCAGTGGCAGACAGGAGTCAGGGATGGTGGGGGCACCCACTTTATAGATTTTCACATCTGAAAACTTGACATTGAAGGCATGGGGATAGAAGCAGCCCCGGAAGCCATAGAAATACTCACGGATGCGCTCGTCCCGGCACTCCCGCCGGAAGTCCTTGGAGCGCTCCACCACACCCCCGGATTTGGGAAGCAGCACTGTGCGAACGAAGTGGGGCAGGTCGCGTTTCAGCTCATTGTACAGTCGCTCCTGGTCCAGCACCACGACCACATCCACTTCAAAGGCAGAGGCCGCGTGCACCAGCGCTTGATACCCAGAGCCCTTGACCCAGCCGCAAGTGTTGATGACGCAGCCGCTCACAGAGGCCCTCCGGTTCACCTCACACCGCTGGTTAAACACGTCTGCTAGGCGTGATGTAATCTGCAATAAAAGGACTAAGATGAGAATAGAAAATGCCAGATCAGGAAGAGGGAGGGGGAAATTTTCAGACTGATTAGAGGCTGCTGTGTCCCTCTTTAAATGGGTGGAAGAAAAATGGCTTAGTGTGTGTGTGCTTCAACAGTGCTGAGAGGCAAACCCAGGAACTCACACACACTAAGCCAGTGTTCTACCACAGAGCCACACCCTCGGCCCCCAAATGACACTTCGGGCTGGACTTGGACACACTATGCAGCCCAGGGTGGCTTCAAACTCACAATGATCCTTCTGCCTCGACCTCCTGAGTGCTGGGACTACAGGCATGTGCCATCATGCTGGGCTTCAAATCACAATTTTAATCCCTGTTGTTTTGACCAGATGGATTTAATTTTTATTTCATGTTGTTTCTGCTTCCTGTTTTATGTCCTACATGCAGATTTAAAAGATTACTAATAGGTCCACAAAAGTGTTTAGCAATCTGAGGCTAACACTTGAAACTGTGTTTTCTGAAAGCGTGGGACAGTAGAAGCAATAAGCTGAAAGGGAGCAAAGCATAGTTTAGCTGCCAAACTCTCACCGCTTCCTATCCTGAGAGCAACCCTTACCTCCACCCGCCTCAGCTCCAGCTCTGACCTTATTATACAGCTTGATGTTGGTCCCAGGAGTGGTGGAGCCGAAATGATAGACCAGTGGAGCCTGGATAGAGAAACCTTCCTCCACGTCTGCCGGCCGCTCAATGTACAGGGCTCCCATGGTACCAGGGATGGACACGGAGCCCTGGCCCACATCCAGTTCCACATAAGTAGGACGGCGGCCCAGACGCACTGCGTAGTTGAGCAGCAGACGACACACAGTGGATTTGCCCACATCCGTGGGGCCCACAACCATCACTCGGGGCCCACGCTCCTCTTCCTTTTCTGCCTGCCTCCGCATCTGCTCCAGGGCTGTGTGAGTGTTGAGGTACAGCAGCATAGGCGTGTCCTTGGAGACATAGGCCACCTCAGTGCGGCCACTCAGCTGCACAGAGCAGCCATGCCAAGTGAAAACGGCTACCTTGGCCCCAGCGTCAAAAGTGAACTTCTTGTTTCGGGTCAGCTCTGTGCCAAAGATCTCTGCCATGCCAGCCAACAACTCCAGCTGAACGGACTGTGACGCCTCTACCTCAAAGCGAAGTTCTGTTTCTCGCTCCAGTTCAAATTTGGTTGTGGGCTTCTTGTCATCATTGGCCTCCTCACTCATCTTTTCTGGGTGGTTGTTGTAGCTGTGACACAAATGAAATTTCAGATCCACTCATATGCCAGGTCTGTTTCAAACCCTTCACCAATGCTCCCCCTTACTTTACTTTCTTCTCTACCTTTTTAACTACTTCTGCCTCAGTATGTTTGCTGTCCACCTTCGCCTACTAGAGCGTCAGGGCTGGGCACTTTCCTTTGCTACCGTTACCCTAATGGATGAACGTATGACATCAAAGAGGAACACTAACCACAAACTAATCTCCCCATCGATCCCGGCATCACTGATCTGCTCCAGAGGAAGAAGGAAGCAAATAGCTCCTCCCCAACACTCCCAGTCAACAAGAAAAGGGCATCAGCAACCCGGATGCAAAGCAGGGGACACCGGGTTTGGACTCGGGCAACAGCCTAAAGCCCGGCTCTCCGCTGTGAAGAGGAGGCACTTCCGCTCTCTCGCTAACAAAAGTTGCCCTGGGGAAAATCGGGGGGAGGGATCGTTAATTCGTAAGCGGGAAACATCGAGGAATCGTCACACCTTCAGCTCTCACTCCAGCGTCTGTTTGAGCCATCCCAACACTAAAATTTGCCCAGGCCCCAGCGAAATGACCTTTGCGTCCTGGATCTTACTATCTCACCTGTAGAGCCACACGCCCAAAAGAGTAAACCCCGGCCGGCGCCCCGCAGGCCAGGACCCAAACCCAACTGCAATCCGCACCCGCCCAGAGGCACACAGGAAACGCACGCGGTTCCGCTCTTGCGCAGTGCCGGGACGCAAGGGCGCGCGGTGCCTCTTGGGACATGTAGTTGCGCCGGAACGGGCAGGGACGGTACACACGGGTAGCCGCTTAGCTTTCTGGGTATTGTAGTTGGGGATTATTGCGCACGTGACGTGGTAGGCGGGGTCTCTGCGAGACCGGATGGGTTTTAGTACTGATCTCTGGGTAGAAACTAAGAGGCACGGTTAGCTATGACCCGCGGGGTTCGGCGTGCCTAAACCCCAAGTGGAAGAAATTAGCAACACCCCGTTTGGGCAGGAAAAGACCAAAGGTTTGGAAAAGTGGAGGAAAATAGGCCAAGCCAAGCTGACCGGCTCTGCCTGACGCCATGCTCTGTGGCATCCAGGCATTCACAAAGTTTTTTTTCCCAAATGAATAAAAGTCCAATGTTTTTTCCAGCTCTTAGTCACAAGCCGGACTTGGTGGTGCACGCCTGTAATACCCGGACTCGGGAGGCTGAGGCAGGAGAATCACCGTGCGCTCCAAAACAGCCTGGGCTACAAAGTGAGTTCCAGGCCCGCCTGGATTGTGATAGCGTGAACCTGATTCAAAACAGTGGGAGGGTCACAGCTCCTTCCTACTGAGCTGGGCCTTTTGTTGGGCCTTTTTCCTCCATAAATCTCTGGCAGTTGTACAAGGTCAGTCTTGCACCTCCTCCGCCCGGGGCATGATCCTCTTTGCACAAGCTAGGCTTTGGAATCCTGTGTTGCCTGCTCCCTGTGTGGCACTGGGCAAATCACAGGCTTCCTGGGGTAGACGGTTCTGGTCTTTAAAATGGAGATAATGACAGTATCCAACCTCTTAAAATTGTTTTGAAGATCGGACGGATGGCGCGCCACGTAGCCCAGCACCGAGTCTGTGACCGAGAAGATCTGATGGTAGCTTTTAAGTTTTGATGATAGGTTGGGGGGCTATAATAATATCTATTTATACAACGCTTTACATTTTTTCAAAGTCCTTGCAGCTATCTTGTTTCACAGCCCGCTGCACAGTCATTATTATCTCCAGTTTCACTTGGGGGAGGAGACTGAGGCGGAGCTTGCAGGAGGCTCAGTCTTGGGGAGAGAGATGCTGAGTCAGGAGCAGGCGCAGTTCCGCGGGCTTTACAGGTGTGAGGTCCTTCGCCCTGCGAGAACCCCCTGCAGTAGGCACCACTGTCCATTTTCCTGTTGTCTCTAGACAGGTGAGTACTTTTGTTGTCCCAGCCAGAGTCCCTGGTCCGTACCATAGATTCTCTTGCTGGCCCTGCTTGGTCCCCACTTTTCAAGCATAACTTTCACACTTCCCTTTGCTGGTTTCCATTTCCTTCTGTGATTGCGTTTGTTCTCCAGGCATGCGTTAATTCTTCCACTAATGCTCTGGTCTCTGCTGATCTTTTTACCATTATGCACACTTTCAATTCAAAGGTGGATGCGGTGGTACACACCTGTAACCGCAGCACTTGGGAGGCTGAAGCAGGAGAATCACTGGGAGTTTGAGGCCAGACTTGGCTACCTAGTGAGTTCAAAGCCAGCCTGGACTACCTAGCAAGACCCTGTCTCAAAAAACCAATGGAGCAAAATTTCGATTGCGGTTTCCATTTCCAAACTTTGTTTCTGGGTGAGTGAATAGGTTCCCATTCCCATGTGATCTGTTTCTTCACTTCCACACGCTTTCCCTTGAGGCAGTTTCTCCCACTTACCTGAAGGGCATCTTTCTTTGGATATTGTATAACCATCTCAAGCTGAATTTAGGAAGAATCCTCTCTCCCTTAGAACATGCTCCATTTTGTTTCTCAAGCACAAGAAAAGGGCACAACATTTAAAGCATCTGTGCTTGCCTACACTTTTCTCACTGTTTTTCACCCAGCATTTTCTGCCTCTCCAAACCACCCCCAAATGACACTGTCCTCATCCTCCCTACCAGCTAAACCCTTGATCATGTTGTTCCTGAGTTGACATAAATTCATGGGTAGCCATTTCACCAAACTTTAAATCCGTGCCCTAAAAACTAATTATTTTTCCCTCAAAAATTCCTCCTTTAAACCAGGTATGGTGGCACAGGCCTGTAATCTTAGCACTCAGGAGGCTGAGGCACGAGGATCACTGAGTTCGAGGCCTACCTGAACTGCAGAGTAAGACCCTGTCTCAAAAAAAATTTCGTCCTTTGTTTACAATCTCCCTTATCTGTTATCAAAAAGTACCATTTTCCTCTTTTTATTTTACCCATCTTTTACCCTCAATTCCAGACCTCTATCCCTCAAATACCCACACTGTATTTTCAGAATTTACCTTTAGTCTCAGAATCCTTTCTGCTTACATATTCAGGATTCCTTTTAAAAAAAAAAATATTCAGAACTCCTTGCTTTAACTTTTCGACTTCCTTGCAGACAATGAACCACTGACAGCATTGCTTTCTAGGAGCCTCCAGCTCTGTCAGACCTCATCTTTCGCTTGCCATTAAAAGTCAGGGATTTTGGGGCTGGGGATTTAGCTCAGCGGCATAAGCACCTGCCTTGCAAGCAGGCAGTCATGAGTTCGATCCCCGGTACCCAGCCCCCAACAGTGCTGTTTTTGTCATTGCACTTTTACTTTTTTATTGTATAAAAAGAAAAAGTTTGCAATACACAATAGTCACACTTATCCTGGAGAATTGGCACATGCACATATTGCAATGTCGGGAGATCGAGACAAGGTCTCATTATGTAGCCTAGCAGGCCACCTTGAACTATTTAACCCAAGCTGGCCTCCAACTCAACAGTGATCCCCCTGCCTTAGCCTCTTGAGTGCTGAGACTTCAGCTGTGGGACACCAGACCTGGTACATACTGCACCTGGATCATTTGAGAATGCTGATGTTTACAAGGTACTTGTCATCGCCAGGCACTGAGCAAGGATCTTGCTACACTATCTTCAGCTTGTAAGCTAAGTGTGGTTGCTTTACCTGTCAGAAGAGGGACTCAGAAGTGCACAGTGGGTCTGACACTTGCCCAGGGGTTCTTGGCAAGGAATAGGCACTGAGATTCCAACTCAGGTGACTTCGAGACCAGAGCCAGCTCGGTCGGTGTAGGAAGCTGCAGCTGGGCACTTGTCCTTCCTACAGGCCAGGGAACCTGCCTGTCCCCAGGGCTCTGTGCGGGGCTCCAAAGTCCTGGGGCCCAGGGGGAGCCTTCCTTGAGGACTGGCCCAGAAGGTTCACAGCCCAGTGAGCACCTTGGGTATCACGGGGGGTCTCACCCATGCACCTGAGGGACAGGAGTGCTGAGCAGAGGTCCACCACCAGCTGTCCTGTGTCACCAAGGCTGCCTCTGGGAGCCCAGTGGGGCAGGTGCCTGGGGCGAAGCCTGCAACCGTGACCATTTCCCTGCGTCAGGGCTGGCGTCTGAGCCCAAGGGGGGAGACGTAGCCCGGTGAATGAGCGAGTGTGCGCTTCCTGGTTGTTGCTGTGTCCATCTCGCCCTCGGTACCGGCCACCTCACCCAGCCCTTGTCCTCCTGCAGCCACACCATCTCCTTGGCCGCACTGCCTGGCCCCTCTGCAGCCTGCTTGTCCTCTCCTGTGCAAACCGGCAGCCTGCGTCCCCTGCCCAGTCCCTGCCGCCACCCTCGGCCCTCCCCCCTCCCCACCGCCTCCTGTGTCTCCCAGCCCTGCTCTGACGTGGGAGGTGAGGGGGCGGGGGACAGATGAGTCACAGTGTTATGATGCAGCTCCACAACACACAGCCACAGTCACCCACAGACCGAGGTGCAGCCTGGCGGACAACCTCTGGCCCCCAGCGGCTGTCCGAGCCCTGCAGCCCCGGCCTCCAGCCCCCAGCCACCACCCCTCCTTCCCCAGTTGAAGGAGCCGAAAGTGAAGAGCGAGCAGAGATGGAGAGCTAGAGAGAGCTAGGCGGAGATCTCAGGAGCTGGCCTCAAGGTGAGGGGGCAACCTTCTCCGCACGGATCCCCTCCTTGCCGATGTCCCCTCCGCTGCTACCGCTGCTGTGTGCCTCTTCCCCACCTTTGCAGGAGTGCTCTTCACCCACCCTTTGTCCTCCCTCCCCTCCCCCGCTGCCTGGCTCTTCTGAGCTGCGACTCCTCCGTCCGCACTTATTTCCCCCGCAACTTCGGCCGCAGCATCTGGCATCCGGGAGTCACTGTGTCTTGTGGGGCTGCTGTGCAGACCCCCAGAGTCTGGCCCGGAAGCCGCCCGAGCTCCCATCCTTGGACGATACCATCGCAGGAGTGCCAGCCTGAGGGGGTTTGTCCCCAAGCAGACACCATCCCCAGCAGGTGTCCCTCCCCCGCCCCTGCTTCCTGAGAAGCACGGGATCTGCACCTGGCTGCTCAGCCTCTGCCGTCAGCAGCTCCCCCCACCCCAGGTCCAGCCCATGCTTGGTGGCACACTTCGGGGACACAGCTTCTCCAGCTCCAGCTGGCCTTTGTTTACCTAGGCACTGGCCAACCTGCTACTGGCTGGGAGGGGGCCAAGAGAGAAGCAGTGACCCCTGGTGTCCCTCAGGGGTTTGCTAGCCTCTGGGCAGCCTCTCCTCCATGGATGGGTGCAGGGAAGGAGGCGTGACAGTTGGCCCGAGCTTGGGAACCCAGGCCGAAAGAGGGGGACCTGAGCTCCTGAGGCCTTCCAAGGTGGCAGTGTCTGAGGGGAACTTGGGCAGAGTGAACAGCCACTGCTGGATGTAGCAACAAAGGCTACCAGAAGCTGGGGTCACTCGGATTCAGCCCAGGGTAACTTCCTGAGCCCAGTGCTGGTCACTGTGGAGGGTTGTATGCTCTGGCTGCCAGGTGGTCCTTGGAGAGAGCAGCACATTTAGGGCACTGAGGCCCTGCAGAAGACAAGACAGGGCAGCCAGTCTGCCTGGCAGTTGGTACTTCTGTGCCTCAATACTCTGGCTCTGCTGGGGCAGACTTGGTCTGAGCCGCCCACTATGGCCCACAAAGGACAAGGCTGCACTTCACCTGCTTATCCAGGCTGACAGGGGCCACCTCCCATCTTATCCTCCATTCCAGCCCCCTCCACCACTCCAGGCTGGCGTGGGGCAGCAATGGTTTCACCTTCAGTCACCCTGAGACACTGCTGCTTGTCCCTGGCTCCGGGGGAAGGGAACACTGTCTTGTACCCCAAGCCACAGCTTTATTTATATACTTTTTTGAGATAGCAGAGGTTGGAGCCAGGGCCTTTGCACTTAGCTACATCCCACAGCACTCTCTCACTTTTTACAGACAGGGTTTTGCTGATTGGCTAAATTGCCCAAACTAGGTTTGAAAACTTGTAATCCTCCTGCCTCGGCCTCCCCGAGTGCTAGGATTGCACACATGTACCACCACAACCAGCTCTAAGCATGGCTTCTAAAAATCAGGAGATCGCTTCCCTGACTGTTTGCACGCATTGATCTCACACTGTACTATGCAGCCTTGCCCAGGATGCTGGCTTCTCCCATTGGTTCACTTGTCAGATCAGCCCCAGGAAAGCAGTCTTCGCCCCCAGGGCTGTAAGCCGGAGCCTTTCACCGAGTACAGAGTGCCGAGTGGAGACAGAAGGGCCCAGAAGCGGGGAACACAGCTAGTGCCTCTTTAGAGACAGGATGAGCAGCCAAGGAGCCAGGCTGGGGGCAGGTGCCAAGGTGCACCTGCTGCCTGTGCCCTGCAGGAGGTGGGGAAAAGCCAAGCAGCAGGCAGCCCAGTGTTAGGAGAGTCCTGTGCCCGCCACACAGCACTGTCACCGCAGCCCTAAGCACCAAGGCCAGGCCCGTGCTGATGACGTGGCTCCCATGGTAGCGCTGGTGCCAGCACTGCGCTCTCGGTGGAGACTAGCAGAGGCGGCTGCAGCCCCAGGAGAGATGCCGACTGCCTCCCCGAACCAGCAGCAGGAGCCTCGATGGCTGCCAGGGCAGGAGGGACTCAGGGGATGGCGGGACAGGACCCAGGGTGGCTGAGGGCTGGGAGATGGGAGGTACGCTGGGGTGCCCCTCACTGCCTGGCCCTGCCCCCAGGTGTTGCTTCTCCCCACTTCTTGTCTGGGGGGCCCTGGCCGGGCAGCCCCCCACAGCCCGCCCGCCCCGAAACACGGCTCTAGCCAACCTGCTCCGCTGCTTCACTTGCGACCGGCTCTGCGGGGGCTGCACAGCACCAGCCCCTCCGGCCCGCCCGGGCATTGTGCTGCAGCCCGTCATGCCCAGCTGCGAGCCGGGCCCAGCCCCTGCCTGTCTGCCCGCCAAGACCTTCCGCAGCTACCTGCCGCGCTGCCACCGTACCTACAGCTGCGTCCACTGCCGTGCCCACCTGGCCAAGCACGATGAGCTCATCTCCAAGGTAGGCGGGCAGGGGGAAGGTCTGGCTGGGCCCAGCGCAAGGCCAGCTAGGACACGGGCAAGGGTGGTGGGGATGGCTCACTGGTCACTGGGCGCCCTGTGTCTCCACAGTCCTTCCAAGGGAGCCATGGCCGAGCCTACCTGTTTAACTCTGTGTGAGTCCACTTCCCTGCCACGCATGTGCCCATGCCTCTGTGTTGTGTGTTTGAGTGTGCGCGCGCGCACTGCTTGCTCTGGGGACAAGCAGGGTGAGGCATCAGAAGGGAGTTCTTTAGGCCTGTCATGCCAGCACTTGAGAGGCTGAGGCAGGAGGATCTCCATATGGAGACCCTGTCTCAACCTTCCCCTACCCTCAAAGAAAGGAGTCCCATGCCTTTCTTTGGCTCTGCCTTTGGCAAAGAGCTCCAATGCAGAGTTGGTCCACCGGCCTCTCAGGGGTGTGGACAGAACCAAGGACTCCCCACGGACATTGGGGTGGGAGCTGCTGCAGGTTCTGTCCAATCACCCCAGGCTGGACTGATGGAGCTGCCTGGCGGGTGCCAGCTCCATCTCCTTTCCCTGGACAGGGTCAACGTGGGCTGCGGGCCAGCTGAACAGCGCCTGCTGCTCACCGGGCTACACTCTGTAGCTGACATCTTCTGCGAGAGCTGCAAGACCACTCTGGGCTGGAAATATGTGAGTGCCGGGGAGACCTCTGTGACCTGGGGACCTTGGCCTGGTGGGCAGGCGTGCCCTAAGGCCGAGTGCAGGGCGACCTGCATAATCACCAGTCCCTTCCCTATCAGGAGCAAGCTTTCGAGACCAGCCAGAAGTACAAGGAGGGGAAGTACATCATCGAGATGTCGCACATGGTGAAGGACAACGGCTGGGACTGAGGGCTCAGGCCGGCTGCGCCCCTCGCATGCCCCACCCTCCTGCCCGCCCCGCCCCACTGCGAGGCCCATACCAGCATGTGTACTGCCCACCCCGACCGGCTCCACCACCGCCCCCCCTGCCCCCCCCACCGCGCCCCCTGGCAGCAGGGGTCTGGGGGACCCCCGGGGTGTTCAAGGCCCAGGGGCGGCAGCAGCAGCAGCTGTCGGGAAACAGCACCAGGAGAGAGGATGGCTGGGGACAGTGCGTCCCCGAGGTTCCAGGATGTAGATGGCAGGGTGAGGACTGGGCAGAGGACCAGGGGCGGAGCCAGATTCTGCCCGGCCTCCTTAGGAGGACTCACCGCGGTCCGAGCCTGCAGACCCCCGCCGCGCCGGCAGCTGCGGGGAGGCCGGGCTTTTCCGAGTCCTGGCCTCGGATGCCAGTCTGAGGGTGGGGAAAAGGACTCCCCAGGTCCAGGCCCACATCACCCCACTGTGTACCATGGCGCGGGAGAGGTACTTTTGAGTTTCGAGTCCTTGCCACTAGCGGGCCGGAGGAGACACAGCGCGCCCAGCCCCACCCCCGCCGGCTGGGTCCGGAGCCAGCGATCACTGCAGGCTCTGTCCAGGGCCCGGCCACCGCTCCCTGCGACCCGGGCCCCTGGAGGGCAGCTGGATCGTCAGGGCCACGGGGCGTCCCGTGGCTGCCACCAGCGAACGAAATTTTTGTATGATACATAAAGCGTTTGGGTCTATTTTTAATAGAAAGGGAAAAAAACCACTGTGAGGCGCTCTGTACCGACTTTCCCTCTCCAGGTGTGTGCCAGGATGCGTCCCCAGTTGTCACCAGGGGTGACTTTGCGCGAGGCTTTGCTTCCTGAAGAGATGGGCTTTGGTGAACTGTATGCCAGCCAGGCATGGTAGCATGTGCTGGTAACTGCAGCACTCAGGAAGCTGAGGCAGGAGGCTCACTGGGAGTTTAAGCCCAGCCTGGACCACACTTAGATCTTGTCTCAAGAACCAAAACAGAAACACCTGTGTCTCATGGACACCAGCCACCGGGCTACCTCTGCCCAGTCTGTGTGGAGCGCTGGAAGGGGCTCATCCTGGAACCAGCATTTCCAGTCCCAGGGTTGGCTGGAGCTATGTCTGGCTAACATCTAAGCCTCTTCATCAGGGTGCCTGCCTGTTTGTTTCCAAGAGGGGACAGAATGCCTCAATGCACCCTCGTGACCCAAGAAACACTTTGGGGAGTGGTGAGCTGACATTCCTATTATTTTGAACTCTTCTACAGGGGAGATGTGCCCATTGCAATAATCCTTCTCCTGTCCTTTTTTAAATGTGTATTTATTTAAAGTCTTGTCAGGTAGGATTTAAACTCACTAGGTTGTTGGGTTGACCTTGAACTCAAGAGATCTTCCTGCCTCAGCCCCATAGTGCTCAGATTAAAAATCCCCTTCTATACACTAGGCTTGGTGATTCACACCTATAATCCCAGCACTCAGGAGGCTGAGGCAAGAGGATCCATGTGAGTTTGAAGCCATCCAGGGCTACATAGAGAACTTGTCTCAGGAAAGTCATGGAAAGCTAGGTGACTAAGGGGCAGGATTGAGAACTAATCAGGCAGCTGGTCAATTGGCTCAATCTAGTTAACTATAAGAAGTGCATTTACTATGGTTGGATTACAGGAGCAAGCGGATGAGAGATGGTATGTGACAAGCAGGCCCATCAATGATCATCTTTGAGCCTAGCTATTTAGCAGGCTGATGCAGGAGGATTCCAAGTTAAGCCCAACCTAAGCAACTAATTTAGCAAGATCTTACCTCAAAATAAAATTAAATGGATATAGCTCAGTGGTGAAGCATTTACCTAGCATATGCAAGGCTCTGCATTCAGACTCTAGTACTGATACTGGGTGTGATAATGCATGCCTGTAACACCCACAATCAAGAGGCCAAGGCAGGAGGATGGCTGTGAGTTCAAAGCCAACCTGGACTACATAGTGAGGCCCTGTCTCAAAAACAAAACTCCAATACTGGGGGAAAAAGTTAAGCAGGGACTCTGGCCTACCATCAAAGGAGTCTCAGTTCCAACCCAAGGACATGGGGGAACCAAAGAATTCTGTTCATTCACAGTGACGGCCATCACACGTCTGTGCCCAGATGGAAGATATGCTAGAAGTAGGAGTATGAAGCCAAGGGTGCCACCTCCAATACTGTCAGCAGACTGGACAGGGAAAGTGCCAGCCAGGCAGGAATGGAGGGCACAAGGCTTGGGGCCCTTGTCTGTCACTTCCTATATGCTAATGACAAGACCAGTCCGGGGCTTTAGCGGGGCACTCACTCTGCCCCCACAATCCCAAATTCTGCTCTCGAAGACGAGGCAGCCCAAAGTGGTGGATGCTTACAACCTCAGCACTCGAGGCTGAGGCAGGAGGATCACCAGGGAGTTCAAGACCAGCCTGGACTATAGTGAGACCTTGTCCCAAAAATAAAATAATAAGCTACTGATTTTTTTTTTTTTGGCTACTGGGTATTTTTTCATCTGGTTTTGAGACAGTCTTGTTATGTCACTAAGTTGTCCCAGGTGGCCTGGAACTTGTCATCTTCTCAAATCAGCCTTGACTAGAGGAATTAAAGGAATGTGGCATTGTGCCTATTTATGAACTACGTAATTTCCTTTTTTCTACCTTTTAGTGCTGGTGATTGAACCCAGGGCTTTTAAACTGAGGCACAATCCCAGCCTTTCTAAATTATTTTATTTGGTACTGGGAATCAAAATTAGAACCTTGCACTGACCAGGCAGGACTTTTGCCACTAAGCTATATCCCTGACTCTTTTTGTTTTGTATTTTGGGTACCAGGAATCAAACTCAGGACCTCAAGTTTGCCAGGCAGGTATTGTACTGCTGAACTATATCCCTGGCCCAATTTTTTTATTTAAAAAGTCTTGCTGTGTAGTTCAAGCTGGCCATGAATTTACAGTGATCCTCCTGACTCAGCCTCCTAAGTGCTTAGGAGTACAGGTGGTGTGCCCCCATTCCTAGTTCTAAAACTTTTAAATTCTGAGACATGGTCTAATTCACAAATTGCTCCGGCTTGAGCTCAAAATTTGGATCCTCCTGCCTCAGCCTCCCGAGGGCTTGTATTATAGCTATGTGCTACTGCGCTCAGATGTTAGAAGTCTTCTAAAGAACTCCCCAAAACAACTCTGGACTTACTGTAACAAGGTGTTACAAAGCCACTTCGGCACTGTGAGAGACAAAGCAGTTATTCCCTCATACGCGTTATAATCTCCCCTGGAAGAATCATTCGGAGGCCTTGGCCTTTGTTTTGGGACGTAATCTTGCTATGCAGTCCAGGCCAGCCTGGAACTCATGGGGATCATCCTGTCTCAGCCTCTTGAGTGCTGAGATCACAGCTGTGCACCACTGGGCCAGCTCCAGAAATTCTATTTACATTTAATCCCCAAGATAAAGTCTTGGGCAGCACTGCACAATCCAAACAGGTGGGCGGCAAGAAGCATCACTGTCCAGCACCCTTCAGTCGAGAGGCTGTGGAGGGGTTCTGGGGAGAGCGGGAGGGGTGGGGTGAGTCCCCTGTGTCCCGGGGCAGCAGGGAGCTCCTGGTCTTTCTGAGGGAGCATCTTTCCGATCTCCTCCACCTCGCGGTGCCCCATCCACGCGGCAGTCAGAAGCCCTCTCCCAGGTGCGCTCAACCCCACACTGCAGAGTCAAGCGTGAGAGCGCAGGCGCCAAGGCTTCTTTCCAGGCCAAGCCACAGTGGCCCTCCAGTCTCGGTCTTCTCGTCTGCCCAGTGGGGGCGCCTGTGCAGAGAGCCGCAGCCAAGAGCACAGCACACAAGTCACCCCATGCTCCGTAAGGGGGAGCTAGGAGCCCAGGGCCAGGTCCCAAGCGTCCCTGGGCGCAGCACGGGGGGGGGGGGGGGGGCAGGCGGTGCTGGAGCACTGCCCGCCGATGCCCTTTTAACATTGCACTGCTTGTGACGAGTGCAGACAGTAGCACAATGTGAAAAGAGCGCCGGCCGGCAGCAGGAGTGCCTGCTGCTGCACCCCCTGGGTGAGTGCTCAGTGGGAGACGCTTTCCGTATCCCAGGAGCCCTCCCCACCCATCGCCTTCTCACTCGCCCCCTTCCCAGCAACACCCCTCTTCCTGGGAATTCTCGAATGCCCGGGCAGGGGCAGCCCGAAGACGGCTGAAGGTGCTCTGGCTTGGCAGTGCCCAGAGGCTCTACAGCTTGCGGGCCCCTGGCACGCACGAGGCGGTCTTTCTGGGTTCAGTGCTCCTTTGGCAGAGGGGCTGTCCTACTCCTCACAACCACGCAGTGGTCTTCTGAGTTCAGATGAAGCAGACTTCTGGGGTCCACAACGCAGATCGAAGGTGAACCTTCAGCACCGCGAAGCAGTCGAGTGGCTGACAGTCCCCAAGAAGAGGGCGGCCTCCAGGAGCCAGAAGCTGCTGGTCAGCCCCCAGCTCTGCGACCCCCTTTCCTTTTTTTTTTTTTTAAAGACAGGATCTTGCTATGTAGTCCAGATTGGCCTTGAACTTACTATGTAGCCTTGGCTCGTTTGGAATGGTGATCCTACTGCCTCGGCTTCCCAAGCATTGGGATGACAGCCTCTTTCAGAGTCTTCAGAGCACTTTTCAGATCTGACCTCAAGGGAAGTCGCAAGGTGACTCCTCTTGAGCTGAATTCAGGATGATCTGAGCAGTGGGTGAGTATCAGAGTTTCTTGACCAGACTGGGGACTCTGGCCGAATGAAGACTCGAGGAGCCTACCAGCTCACCCCATCCATCCATCCCAGCTCCACACTGGAGACTGGCTACATGCAGCCCAGAGGTGACCAGGATGCGAGTAGATGGAGGGCCCTGTAGAGCGCCATTCAGGTGGCTCCAGCCCCAGCGCCAGGGGCAGCTGCAGGGTGTTACTTCTCGCGCCCCTATCCGGCAGCAGCCTCATGCTTCTCCTCAGTCCAGTCCACGGCCTGCAGCAGCACGGAAGCCTGTATTCAAGTTGGGAGCTCGTCCTCCGGGCTCCCCTTCCAGCCTCCTCCCGCCGCAGGAAGCAGGAGAGCGGCTTTCCCGCCTCGCCAGGCAGTTTGTGCTGCAGCCTGCAATCCCAGGGCCCTGCCCCACAGCCTGCTCGGCGGAAACCGAGGCCTTGCTAGGGTCAGTGGCCAGGCCTGCCCACTCCCGAGGCCAGGCGAGCCAGGCCACCAGGAGGGCACAGGGGCCAGCTGGCTCAGGGGCTAGGGAGGATCACCCCCAAGGAGTTCCCGGATTGCTCCTTCGGGAGGGAAAGGCGGCGAGCCCCACAGCATAGCTCCTTCCGGAGGAGCAGGCCGCGACCCCCGGCCGCAGGACCCTCCCCCACCGTTCCTTCCAGACGCGGGTGGAGACAGAGGAAATGGGGGAGGGGATGCCTTGGCTCAAGTTCCCTTGGCTCCCCCTCCTCATTGGCCACCATCTTCCTGCCTCTGCCCCCGAGCAGCAGGGGATGGGGCCCAGCCCGCGGCGGGAAGAGAAAGGGCAGGTGTGGGGCGAGCGGGGCAGGGGTGGCCCCAGCTGTCCCCGCCCCGCCCGCAGCCATGGCGACGGAGGAGGAGACTTGGAGGGTCCTGAAAAACCCGGTCCGTGAATGGGATGATCCCGGTAGCGGCGGAGAGCTTGGGGTGAGGGGCGCCCATCTCGCAGCACCGGCCGTGCCCCCTACATACACGCGCACCCCTCGAGCGGACCACGCGCGCGCGCGCCCGCACAAACT